TACAATTTATATTAGGTCAGCGTTCACGGTTCGACTTCTGATATTCAGATCGAGTTCTAGGTGAAACTGGTTTGTTCGACTTTCAGGAAATTCGAGTTCTAGTGAGTTCGAGAACCACTGTACTATTTAATATACAAACATAAATCAATCGTGAACAATTAGTAAAGACATTAATGACCGATTTAAATGACATACCAGATAAAATAAAATGTTCACATATTAATCTATAATTATGCACGTGCGTCTATTGACCAAATAACGCTTAGTGCTCCGAATGATGAACTCTTGCGCCGTATTTGCACATGCTTGCGATACCGGATGCCGGAAGAAATACGACAGTAAGAGTTTCTCTGCAGTTGTCGTTCAATGATTAATAGAAGAAATAGAAATCGAAAGTCAGATACTCCCTTGCGTGGATAGCAGCCGTGTACGGGTCCGAACATTTCGCCCAGCCGTGATTTTCAGCGCTTAAAACTGCAGAGATTTCCCAAAAAATAACCGATGACAGGCCGGACAAGAGCGGATCGTCGCTTTGACAAGAGGTATGGCGGCAGATGCCCCAAAACAATCTAATAAAATCGTCATTTCGTTATGCCTGTATCAAACACGGAAGCGATGCGCTCGTACTCACTCGTTTGTAGGTTAGGGTCGACGCTGCCGCAGCCACAAAACCCCCCATTCTGCCGCTCAGCTTCCGAGTCATCGGCTATCTTCACTGGTGGTTAAAAAAAAATCAATCCCTCGTTTACAGCATTTAAATTACATGTCAGTATTCCATTAAATATTACTTTATAGCAAATAAGATCTCAATATACAAATGAACACAAATTACGCTCGTACAGTAATATTGTGCTATATTATTACATTATATTGTGACACACGGTGCACAGATTAAATCAGCTGGCAAATGCATTGTATTACACACATTTAATTTTTTTCCTCAGCCCGTTTTCGAAAAAGAGAACTGCTCAGCTGCACCGCAGTGTGTGTCATGTGGGAAGCACACCATAACCTGGAAGAAGGCTGGATTGGGACTCTGGCATACTTGGCAGTTTCCTGATGGGCCTATGGGTATATTGGCTGGCAAAGTGAATCGTGGGGGACCCGTCTGTCGGCGAAAACGTATCGTTCGGCTTGAAGTTATCAGGGGAACTATACCCGCTCGGCAAAAGTAGCATTGACTTTGAGTGTGGCCTCACACACGTGTCATTGTCTGGGACCTCCTTCGCTAGGAAGCCGGGCTCCAGCGGATCCAGTACGAACACACTAACGACTTGAAACTGCCCGCACAGCCCCGAAAACTTACTTGGTTACTATTCAGCATTTGGAATGACTGAGAGACAACATGAAAAAGCCAAACACAGTTAAAGGGTCAATTATCGTTAGACTGCTTGCTAATGGTACCGTAACTATACTGATGCGGGGAACGCGCTGGATTTATGGCCTTTGCGTTTGAATTCTTAGAAAACATAACATTCGATTTATATCACCATTTGTGGTCTACCTGTGTATTTCGACCGCTCCGCTCCATCCATTTCCTTGTCAACGCAGAAGATACAGATAGTTAATTCATTATCGCTACCGCTGTATCCTCGTGTGTCTGCCAAGAGATCAACCTAACCCCATACGTCTTTGTTACCCGCCTTCATATCTTCCGATTGGCAGGATTCCAAAAGACCCCGCCCATGCTTGTTCACTATTCGGTTAGGAAACACGTCCGTCAAAATATGCACGGTTCAGCGCTGTCTGGCTGTTTTGTATTCTGCAACCAATCTACTGTATGTCGTGGTGCTGAACTGACAACTCCTTTTCCAGAGCAAGTGGTGTGTTGATCTCGTTAGTGGACTGAGCTGCCGTACGATGTTCACCGGTGATGTCTTTAAAGAGGCTTCGGGTGTATCTACGTCACTGATAAAAGAAAAACAACAAACAATGCAGAGGTCGAAAGCATTTAACAAGTTTACGATTATTCTAACTAGCTGAACTTCTGTATTTGTTCGTCAGCAGACTAATGTTGTATGTATCTTAAAAAGGGGTGGGCATGCTTAAGTATATTGGTCTTAAATATACAGGTCGTTGCAAGGAAAGGTAGAAGATCTGAGGTCTGCAGAAATGTCACAGCTCGACTAATAGCCTGGAAGGAATCTTTTAGTAACCTGCGAAACATTAATGTATAACTATGCTTTTATTAATAGAAACAATACTCGTCTTTCAGTTTAAAAGGCGTCAGCTTAAATACCGCGTTATTTCTTGTTTTTATATATTTTTTTCTACGTCATTCTCTTTGTATTATGTATATAGACGCATTAACCAGATGTGCTATGCTTGCTTGCATAGTCATACACTGTACCCAGTAAATACCACTTGTCATTCATTTACAGTTTAACTGAGATGTGATGGAAGCGATTTGGATCTACCAGTTTAGATTAATCGTGATCGGAGACTCCACAGTGGGAAAATCTTGTTTGCTGCGTCGGTTCACCGAGGGAAGATTTACAGACGTATCCGACCCCACGGTGGGGGTAGACTTCTTTGCCCGGTTGATTGAGATCGAACCAGGCAAGCGTATCAAACTCCAACTCTGGGATACGGCCGGCCAGGAGAGATTCAGGTATCTGATTACTGTTTCCGACTTACCAAGATTTTGGTTTTCATATGGTTTTAAGTATAGTCAATGGGCAAGAAGGTTATATGTGCAGTAAACTTTTTAACACATCTGCATGACCAGTGGCCTAAGTTTTGTTGGAAATGTCCTGTAATGCATCCTAAAACAAGAAGTATAAGCTATGCGTTTAAGTATGGGAGGAAAAAATATTATTTATTATATGCTGAAAAAACAGTCGAAAACTGTCTTTTATGAATTCACTGTCATAGGCCTATCTATTTTCATTTTAGATCCATAACCCGCGCTTACTACCGCAATTCAGTGGGAGGACTCCTAATCTTCGACCTGACAAACCGACGATCTTTTCAGCATCTAAAAAACTGGTTGGATGAAGCAAAAATGCACATGCAACCCTATCAGATAGTGTTTCTGCTGGTGGGGCACAAGTGCGACCTCACCAACCTGCGCCAGGTGAGCCGCGAGGAGGCGGAGCAAACTGCCTTAGCCTTTGGAATGAAGTACATAGAGACCTCTGCCAAAGACGGCGTCAATGTGGAGGAGTCATTCAATATCCTCACCAGAGACATATACGAACGGGTGAGAAATGGGGACATAACCATACAGGAAGACTGGGAAGGGGTAAAAAGTGGCTTTGTCCCGAATGTTGTCCATTCTTCCGAGGAGGCGGTAAAACCCGGTCGAAAGTGCCCATGTTAGCTAACCCAAGAGAATGGGGTGTGCCGATTTGCAGCCAAAGAGATGACCTAGACTGTAATTTTATTTAGACATTAATTTTCACATAATACACTGAACTGCTCTGTAAGGCAAGATTGCATATTGTTCTTGGACAATATTGCGATTGCCGTGGTTTACGCTTTTACTGTAGGTTCTTGTATTTTTTAGCAGCTCTGTGTATCCTACCCTCTTGTATATAATTGCTACGTATATAAACGTAGTTTTCTTGTAAGAATCTTACAAGAATGATGTATCATGTCTTAAAAGCCTGTAAACACTGTAAAATATCATGTACACGTCAACTGCCTTAGACAATTAATTTGCCTCACGCAAATAATCAGTCAATCAATCAGTCACTCGCTTTATTGAAAAAGCCAATGTGCCGTTTTGGTGATGTCAGTTACATTGGATTGTAACGAGGGTAACTTGAGTCGATATATTCATCCATGCTTTGGCGTTTTCTATTGTGCCGTTGAAATCCTAGTAAAATTTAATATGCAAGACTTAAAACAATACAGAGGAAGACTGGGACCATTTTTTTTTCTGTAAAATTTGCCAGACATTGGAACATCTGTAAATGTTCGAAAAATCCGAAAAATCAATTTAGTTACGAAGGGAAAGATTTTCATACAGGCCTAAATATTTCGAAACAACTCGATTTTATGAGGATTTCGTTACGGGATATATACAAGTTCAAACTGTTTTGATTTAGGTATTCTAGCAAAAGACAGCGAATGAAAGTCACTGATTGCAATATAGCCTAACCCATGAACAAGCTAATGAGAAAATTAAAACTCGAATATAATCATAATGCAACAGCGATGTTCATTAAAGTGTAGGCCGGGCTACCTATGATTCAACGACTGAATTGCTTTGGATGACTGTTAAATTATTTACTACTGCATAGGCCTATATGAATTGCCTTGACACTGGAAAATGTATTGTGCCATTTGAAAGATTGTTGGGCAGTTATTATGACAAGTTTGCAATTAAAATGATATTGCTTGGTTTTGAATTGCACGTATTTGCGTATTTGCAAACAAAATAAACCATCACTATTTCTGTTTGCCCTTACCAAGAGGTTTTTAAAACCGCAAATCAGATTAACCATACAGAATATTAAAATAGTTATAACATTATGAAAATACAAATAAATGTAATTGTTATATTCATTGTATACATAATTTAAGTATTCGAGCAGGTTAATTTGTAGTTAAGATTTTATGTCCGCATTTAATGTCAATCTATCACTGGTGAGAATTTTATGGCCGGTTTGTCTCTTCTTAGTCGACAGTGACATCTAGTGGAAATCCATCTGAGCGGGTTAGTTAAACCCACTGATAGAACTGCTAGTAAGATAGATCCTAAGCGTTGCAAATTTAACATAGCGCAGATTCGAAACGTACTGAATATATGCCTGTTGCTATATTCCCATAACAGAAAGACATCTCAGAGTTCATTTTGTGTAAAGATTAAACTGGGAAACATCGAAGAACCTACTAATATATTTGCTTATCCTTACACATAATCCGAAGGCTATGCTACGGCATGATCGATGATACAAGATAAAATAGATATGTTTATTGTCACTTTTAATATAATTGAATACATAAAAACGAAATGCCTTTTTCCCAGCCCGAACTGTGCTATGGCAGATAATACGCAAATAGACAAATAAAATAGACCGGTAAATAAACAATGTCACAATATTATAGCCTACCCACTATAACACAAACATGTACTATTTAATGTTCAGTGACGGATACTGTATACAATACAAACTACAGAAACAACAAAAAACAAAACATTATCAATAATAATAACAATAATTGATGGGTAAAGAAAGAAAGAAAGAAAGAAAAACAGTGGGAGTCCCGTTTAATTTTCAACAGCGTTCAAACTGGTTAATTTCAGCAGACTCGCTGGTGAGTAAATGCACATTAGTTTGTGCCAGTTCTTTCCACTGGATATTTCAATGGGTCAAAATATCGCCAAACATAAATATGTAACTTCCGCTGAATCATAAAATATTAATTTGATTCGATACTCTGATTTCTACATTCACGTTGCGTAGCTGTTAAATGATATGCCTACTGTAAATTACAGCTGAAATTCCATGCGGTTTTTTTTTACTGCCTTGTACTAATCTACATATATCAATAGTAGATTTATTAGCACACCTTTGGTATTTTACTACTGTAATCAGTAGCCCCGTTCAGTTTCACTAATCTTACATATAAACAATTAATATTTGTAATGGAATTTCAATTAAGGCTCTAGATGTATGTGATTTCCGTTACATCAGTTATTAAAACCCATTGCTTGGTTAATTGTCTTGCAAATCTCGCGAGATTTCGCGAGGGAATAAGTTGAAGGAACATGGCGACATCTAATTTGTTAAAGGTAAGAGGTACATCATCTCTGCATTGGCAGCGTTCTATGATTGTCATATCATAATAATGGTTCATTGGCTGTGTTAAAATAACATATTTGGCAAGAGCGTGGCATTTCAGAATGAGGTATGGGCCCTGAAGTTTGAATAGGTTATTAAAATAAACAGTATTATGTGTATCATATCTGTTGAAGTATTAACATTAATGCTGTGCTGCCTTGATTACGATAACAGATTTTTTTCATACAGGGATTATTTGGGAAATACTAAGTATTAAAACGGGCTATCTATTTTAAAACCCACCGTTTGCTCGCGGGTGGATGACAGCACTGTCACTCGTGCGTTCTCAGGTGAAGTTCCTGTTGCCAGGACAGAATTAAACATCTTATCACTATACTGATTCATGTGAGACGAACGCTTCTGAAATTATATATGCAGGTTCAGAAAACTTGTGTACGTTACCCACTCCCCAGTATTTGTGATTTCGGGTTTTTGCATTATTAAAGGAGGAACGATTTTGCCGCATGCTGTTTGGAGCGTCTCCACCTGCGGAGATGAGTGTAGGTTTCCCGACCGCTCTTGGAAATGCCAGCGTTATCGGAACGGGAAGTTTGACAGAAGAAGGTAGTATATTATGGTCGCAAAATAATAAAAGGACATTTCTCAGTGCTGATGGGAGGATTGTCAGGTTATCTGTAATCGAACGCATCGGGATCAGTTTGGGGCGATTAGTAAGAAAGTCGTGTTGACTGTACCTCAGCTAACTCGCAGTTTGAAAGGGGTGAGCAACAGCCGTGGGGCTGTAATATTATTACGTCTGAAGCACTTTTTGTTTGCTGTCTCATCTCTGTTACCAGAACTTTCTATTCAAGTAACTGAAACGTTCCTTTATGGATTTCTGTGGCTTGAATGATGAACCTCTGTCTGGTTTGTGGTTCAGTTCCCAAGGCTGCTTGACGAGTTTTTCAGTACCTGCTGGTTATTATACACTCACCTAAAGGATTATTAGGAACACCATACTAATACGGTGTTTGACCCCCTTTCGCCTTCAGAACTGCCTTAATTGTACGTGGCATTGATTCAACAAGGTACTGAAAGCATTCTTTAGAAATGTTGGCCCATATTGATAGGATAGCATCTTGCAGTTGATGGAGATTTGTGGGATGCACATCCAGGGCACGAAGCTCCCGTTCAACCACATCCCAAAGATGCTCTATTGGGTTGAGATCTGGTGACTGTGGGGGCCATTTTAGTACAGTGAACTCATTGTCATGTTCAAGAAACCAATTTGAAATGATTCGAGCTTTGTGACATGGTGCATTATCCTGCTGGAAGTAGCCATCAGAGGATGGGTACATGGTGGTCATAAAGGGATGGACATGGTCAGAAACAATGCTCAGGTAGGCCGTGGCATTTAAACGATGCCCAATTGGCACTAAGGGGCCTAAAGTGTGCCAAGAAAACATCCCCCACACCATTACACCACCACCACCAGCCTGCACAGTGGTAACAAGGCATGATAGATCCATGTTCTCATTCTGTTTACGCCAAATTCTGACTCTACCATTTGAATGTCTCAACAGAAATCGAGACTCATCAGACCAGGCAACATTTTTCCAGTCTTCAACTGTCCAATTTTGGTGAGCTCGTGCAAATTGTAGCCTCTTTTTCCTATTTGTAGTGGAGATGAGTGGTACCCGGTGGGGTCTTCTGCTGTTGTAGCCCATCCGCCTCAAGGTTGTGCGTGTTGTGGCTTCACAATTGCTTTGCTGCATACCTCGGTTGTAACGAGTGGTTATTTCAGTCAAAGTTGCTCTTCTATCAGCTTGAATCAGTCGGCCCATTCTCCTCTGACCTCTAGCATCAACAAGGCCTTTTCACCCACAGGACTGCCACATACTGGATGTTTTTCCCTTTGCACACCATTCTTTGTAAACCCTAGAAATGGTTGTGCGTGAAAATCCCAGTAACTGAGCAGATTGTGAAATACTCAGACCGACCCGTCTGGCACCAACAACCATGCCGCGCTCAAAATTGCTTAAATCACCTTTCTTTCCCATTCTGACATTCAGTTTGGAGTTCAGGAGATTGTCTTGACCAGGACCACACCCCTAAATGCATTGAAGCAACTGCCATGTGATTGGTTGATTAGATAATTGCATTAATGAGAAATTGAACAGGTGTTCCTAATAATCCTTTAGGTGAGTGTAGATTGGCATTGGTACGTGATGCAATCCTTTTCTGACTTTATTAGCTCAAGGAGCACAGCATATTGCTAGCAATGCAAAGGTTGCGGGTTCAAATCGCAGGGAGCACACACAATTTGTAAACTGTCCCTCTACTTTAAGCCACTTTGAATAAAACCGTCAGGCAAATAAACTGTCAGAGGCTATTTTGATGTTTTTCTGTCTCTGTGAGAGGTTAGAACTGATGTTTTCCCCACATTTTGGATCTTGCAGCAAGGCAGCCGGGATGTCACAAAGAATTCATATCTCCCGCTGTCATTAAGCCTTTCGCTGCCCCCAGTGGAACTTGCGAAATGATGCATGTTGAATCACTTCCTCTGTTGGAAAACTTCATCAGCCTTATTACGCTCAAATTGTCCTGAGCAGAGAACTATGCTAATACTGCACATTTTTATAAATTGTAAATGCAGTATTGAGAAGATATAGTTGATAACCCTTGCATATTGCCCAGAGCTGCAGCTGCTTAGTATGACTGGTAAGATCAAAATCAGCTTAATTTCACTTGTGCTCATGCACAATGAAATTAGGAAATGAGGTGATGTTAAACATGTCCTTTGATCCCAAGGGTCTATTGTAACTTCTGTTCTCACACTTCTGTTCAATTTTACAGCTCTGGTTTTTATCTAAGAAACTGAACATAATGACTGCTTTTCTCAGCCATAAAACAACAGAGAGGCCTGTCTTGGATTCACAACTTCAGAGGTTCACTGACAGGTTAATTTCTGTAGCTATAATGCCTGGTAGTTAAAATATCAGGTTTACTTGTTCAAATGCAACCAAAGACTTGTTCATGAATTATATATTAGAATAGAATAGATTGGATTAGATATACTTTATTGATCCCAGGGGGAAATTCTTGTCCATACAGCAACCAACAACGTGCATGGATGGTACACATCATGCAAACAAGTAAGTATAGTGCAAGCAAATTAAAAAGTGCCCATGGAACACAAACATAATCCCAAAAAATAGAATATTATGGAATATGAAGGGGAAAATAAATAAATAAAATAAACAAACAAATGAATAGATATAATAATATAAATTAATTTGTTATTATTATTATTATTATTATGGGGCAGGGGTGGCCTAATCATTAGGGATGTGCACTTGTAATCAAAAGATTGCTGGTTCAAATCCCTGATGAACAAGGTTCCACTCCCAAGCACTGCTCCCTGGGTGCTGAATTAGCTGCCCCCTGCTATGTCACGATGTCACATATGGGTTAAATATAGAGGACACATTTCATTGTTGTGCTGTGTTGTGTAAACAATGACACCTATGGCCTGTACTACGAAGCGGGGTTACTGGCTTATCGGGGTAACTTGTCAGATTTAAGGTACCACAGTTTAAATGGACTTCATATTCGCTCACTTACATTTTGCCCAGACTACCTTAAATCCAACAAGTTACCCTGATAAGCCAGTAACCCCGCTTCGTAGTACAGGCCACTAATCACTTAACAATAAGCAAAAACAACAATAATAGAAATTAGTGGATGGTATATGTGATTTTGTTATATGTATGCATAATGACAATAAGGAATTCTATTCTATTTTATTCTATTCTATGTTCAGGGGGTGGGGGGGAGTGGCACATTGGGAGGGGGTGTTTTGTGCTCCAAGATGGAGCCCCCTGGAGCAGATGGGCAGCATTATTGATAATGGTGTCCAATTTTGCCTGCATTCTCTTCTCTGCTACTCCCCAGAGTGTGTTCAGGGTCAGTCCTGTGATTGAGCTGGCATTCCTGGTGAGTTTGGTGTCACTTCCCCAGCAGGCCCTAGAGTAGAAAAGCATATTGGCCATCATGGACTGATACCCACCAGCTTGCTACAGACCTCCTCAGAAAGTAGAGTCTGTGGTGTCTGCTTTGTTTAGATGGGAGAAGGCTCAGTGGAGCATGTGCATTAGAGCATCATCCACACCTGTATGTGCCTGGTAGGCAAACTGCAGAGGATCCTGGTGGTCTGTTACCAGGTGTCGAAGCTGGTTCAGTACCAGCCTCTCAAAGGTCTTCATGATGCACTATATGGATAAACGTGTCAGGACACCTGGCCATTACACCTACAGGACTGGTGACATCCCATTCTAAGTGCATAGGCATCAATATGGAGTTCCCAGCTCTTCTGGGAAGGCTTTCCACAAGATTTTGAAGTGTCTGTCTATGAAATGCATACCAAGACATTTTGGACAATTATATACTTCCAACTCTGTGGTTGCAGTTTGACGAAGGCTCTTTTCTGTTCCAGCATGACTATGCCCCAGTACTCAAAGCAAGGTCCATAAAGACATGGTTGAGTGAGTTTGGTGTGGAAGAACTTGACTGGCCTGCATAGCGCCCTGACCTCAACCCCATTAAACACCTTTGGGATGAACTAGAATGGAGATTGCGAGCCAGGCCTTCATGTCCAACATCAGTACCTGACCTCACAAATGCTCTTCTGAACGAATGGGCAAGTGTTCCTACAGACACACTCCAAAATCTTGTGGAAAGCCTTATTAGAAGAATGGCATCTGTTATAGCTGCAAAGGGGGGACCAACTCCATATTGATGCCGATGGATTTAGAATGGGACGTCATAAAAGTTCCTGTAGCTGTAATGGCCAGATGTCCCAATACTTTTGTCTATGTAGTGTATGTGAAGTGAGAGCAGCTGGTCTGAAGTCCTTAAGGGAGCTGATACACCCGTTCTTTAGAGAGACCATGCAGGATGTCTTTCAGAGCTGGGGCACCTTCTGCAGACAGAGGGAGAGAGAACTGCTACTATAGGACCCCGCAGAGCTGGCTGGCACATCTTCAGCACCTTGGGGCTGATTCCATCAGGCCCCCACAGCCTTTCATTGTGATGTTTCCCCAGCTCTTTCCTCACCTGGTCAGCAGAGACAGATATCTTGTGTGGAGTGGGAGTGGAGACCTTGGGTTTGGTGCATCAGCATCAGACCTGTAATCATGGTTCCGAATAGGTAAATGTCTTCGATGTCCTCCACGGAAAGAGCTGCCAGACACGACCCTCCACTTCTCCCATCCGTCCATCGTGTAGCCAGCTGCGTATGTTCCTGCAGGACAGTCAGGTTCCCCTGAACCTGGGCTTCTCGTCGAGAAGATGGTGCCAATTGCGTTGAGAGACCAGTTGATCAAATCCATGATTTCCTTAGTTTGAAGAGCAGGGCTGAGAGGGTCTCTCGAGTATAGACAGAAGACGGTAGACTGGACGAGACGAGAGAAGCAAAGCAGGGAAGATAAGGGGAGGGAGAGGGAGAGAAGTGTGTCCGCCTCCGATGAGAGCAAGAGAATGTGTCACAGAGTGGTTCAGGGAGCATGAGGAATCATTTTCACGCGTGACTTGGTCACCACAGAGTTGTGACCTTAACATCATTGAAGGTCTCTGGGATATGATGAAGGAGGCTTTATGGAGTGATTCAACTCACTTGTCAATACAGGATCTTGGTGAGAAATGAATGCAAATCTGGATGAAAATAAAGGATGAAATGTTGCATACTGTAAGCTTGTGGAAACAATGCCATGACAAATATGCGCCATAATCAAAGCTAAAGGTGGCCCAACACAAAATTAAAATGGTGACTTTTTTTTTTGGATGGGCAGTGTATAAATAATAAATGAATAATATATATAAAGTATGCCTTTTTTCCTTCAGATAATCCATGCGCAGAACATCCCTATCTCCATGCATTTTGACCATCAGATGGCGTCACAACCAGCTTGGTTTGGTCACACTTTTGGCCCTGCGAGTAAGCAGGCCCATGTCAGCACAGTTACAGTTCGGATAGCTTACTATGGAGAACTGTCCGTTTGCAGTATGGCTCTGTTCTTGCTGTTAGTGGCAAAGCACCATTGGATGGAGAAGTCACAGGGAGGTGTGGCGTGGAAGGGGGGAATAGAAGGGCTCGGACCCCCCTCAGCTGGGACACTGAGGCTGGTCGTATTCGGGGAGGGCTGAACTGGCTTCTGAGCCTCACTGCCTTATTTTTGTATATAGTAATGCAAGATATAACTTAACCTTCTCCTGTCTCCACACCATTAGAACAAAGGCTCCCTACAATTTGATGACAAGTGGGATTTGATGCGTCCCATTGTTCTGAAGCTCGTTCGCCAAGAGACGGTCACCAAGCAGCAGTGGTTTGATCTGTTTTCGTGAGTACAAGCCCTCACCTCCTTCTTGGTGTTGAAAATAAGGCTCTTTCTCTGATATTGTCCAAGGTTCAAAACTGTGTATACTTGCAAGTTTTATTACATAGGTTCATAAACAGTAATGAAAAAGTTCAAATTGTTTTAGTACTCCTGAAATTTTTCTGCTTGTTGTGGTGCTGACATGTCATATCTGATCTCTTCCCTTTATCTGTTTATTCCATGTATTGTCCTGTCATTGCTGGGCTGTACATGCTTAGAGATGTCCACGCTGTTTGTCTGTGGGATGACAAAGGGCCAGCCAAGATCCACCAAGCTCTGAAAGACGACATCTTAGACTTCATTAAGCAGACACAGGTGGTGAGTGAACCGTCACTTCTGGGCATCTGTGAGCAAAGCCGCGGGGTGTCCCTGTACCCTGAGGAGCAGAACCGGTAGTCAGTCCAAGTTTCAGTCCAGCTGTGTGGACTATCTGTGAGTCTAGCTGTGTGAACTATCTGTGAATCTAGCTGTGTGAACAGTTAGACTGAATGTTATTCAGATAAAGGACATTACGCCTGTATTTTTCTGTGGTTTTATGAATGTTTTGTTTTCCTCCCTCTCTTGACCAGCTTGTTTTCTGAGACCTCCAACACAGTCCCTACCTTCATAGACACTGGACTACATTAAGCAACGAATCACTTGGAGTAAAAAAAAAAAAACCCATTCTACCTGCATTGTAAAATGTGCCTGATCACTGATTGGCTGTGCCGCCCTCCCGCAGAGAGTGCTGAGTCAGCAGGATGACCCCGCCCTCCTCCAGGTCTACATCGCAGAGTGGCGCAAGTTCTTCACCCAGTGCAACATCCTGCCCAAGCCCTTCTGCCAGCTGGAGATCACCTTGATGGGCAAGCAGGGCAGCAACAAGAAGTCCAGTGTGGAGGACAGCATCGTCAGGAAGGTGAGAGGGAGGAGGAGAAGGAAATGGAGCTGAGACACAGCAGATAAAATCACAGTTCCAAGTGTTTTGGTATTTTTGTAAGACCTTTGCTTAAAAACTCCAGGATGGAGGGCTGAAATCTACCTCCACCTGTGTGTATATGTGTGTCTGTGTCTGTGGACATGCATGTATTACATTGTGGAGACCAAATGTCCTACCAATGTGATAAAAATCTGTTATTTTGATGTTATGAGGACCATTTTTTTCAGTCCCTACAAGGGGAAATTCTAAATTTTATAAAAATCTGTGACTGCAATCGAAAACCTAAAAATGCCAAAAGTCTTGTATTTTGTTTGATTACTTATGGTTAAGATTAGGGCTGGGTAGGGGTTAAGGTTGTCATTGCTGGAATTGGGGTTTTCCCATATAAATGGACAGTCCCCACAAACATATGAATTCAGAAGTGTGTGTGTGTGTGTGTGTGTGTGAGTGAGAGAGAGAGTGAGAGTTCTTTCAAAATTTTCTTGTTCTCACTCAGGTCCAAAGACAACTTCAGGTCAAGAAAAGTTCTGTGTTCTAGTCTAGTTATCGGATAATGACTTTATACATGCATTCATGGAAGTTTCATCCCAGTTTCATGCTGAGCTTTAATCACCCTTCCTCTGGGTCGTCCATCCCCCATTCCTGCAGCTCATGTTGGACACGTGGAATGAGTCCATCTTTTCCAACATCAAGAGCCGCCTGCAGGACAGTGCCATGAAGCTGGTGCACGCTGAGCGACTGGGCGAGGCCTTCGATTCCCAGCTGGTCATCGGTGTCCGCGAGTCCTATGGTAAGGGAATGCTCATCCTCATTCCTACATTTAGGCAGAGATGATCGATCTATATTGATGTCTGTTAGCCTGGAATGTAACTGAATCTTTGGAGAAGGTACAGTGAGAGTGATTCATGACGATTACCTCAAGCTGTATGCTTACAGCATTTGTACAATGATTTAGCAAAAAGTTTGTCTGTGTATTTGAAATTGTGGGTTACGGTAGCTGCTATGCCACCTGCTGTCAGGTTTTTTGAAGTACAGTTTTTGTGTTGAGGAGCATTTCAGCCCAATGTCCTGTTCTTCATCTGCCCCCTCATCCTTTATTTATAGTGAACCTCTGCTCCAGTCCTGAAGATAAGTTGCAAATCTACAGGGAGAACTTTGAAAAGGCCTACTTGAACTCTACTGAGAGGTTCTACAAGACACAAGCAGCATCATATCTGCAGCAGAATGGGGTCCAGGATTACATGAAATATGTGAGTTTGGACTTGACTCTGCACAGCAATGAGTCCCTTCTGCCAGATGGTGATAAAGGCTCTAGAATTCATTAAGCATGCTTCTCCTGTAGGTACCCATGAGACATAGTGCATTCCTGTAGTGCAGTGTTTCCCAATCTGGTCCTCAGTGACCCACAGACAGACCACGTATTTGCTCCCACTGAGCTGCCTGTCTGGCAGGGAGCTCGGAGGGAGCAAAAACATGAACCCGACTGTAGGTCCCCGAGGACCGGTGTGGGAAACACTGCCATAGCGAGTTTCCATGTGTCTTTCAGGCAGGTGCTAAGCTCAAGGAAGAAGAGCAATGGGCACTTCGATATCTGGAGACGAGACGGGACTGTAACTCTGTACAAGCTGTGAGTACTGCCTCAGCAGACAAACCGATTCTGCCAGATAATAGCTAGATTTTAGGGTAGTTAGTGATAGAATTCTGGTGATTGAAATTGTACTCTATGTAACGGAGTATAGAGACCAAACTGTGCTTTGTTTGTATGTACATTTTTTGTATATTTGTATGAAGATACAGTACTGGGCAAAAGAAAATAATTACATGATTTTCATGTTGGTGTAAAAGTCTGACATTTGCCGTTTCAAAATCTCTCCTAAGCAACATATCTTTTTCACTCAACCACTACCTCACTTCATACAGCTCAATCAATATCTCACTGACGTTTTAAACTAATGGAATTATTAAGTGAGCCGATTGTGAAATGAGATGAATGCATGGAATGGCTGAAGTGCCCCTAAGGAGGGTTTTGGGAACTGAAGCGATGTTCATCTAGCCATCCTACAAGATATCAGTAACTTTTGGAGAACAGAAGAAATTCTTGTTAGTTTTTGTTGCGTTACTCTTAATTTGCTTATGTTCACTTACTGCCTAGATAAATAGCCCAAAATGTTTCCTTTGACTATCCAAGACTTTTGCACAGTATAGTATATTTTTATCTTTGCCCCCTCTGAGCTCCTGGACTGCTGTGTGAATGTTCTCGTGTCATCGTTCAAAGAGACGATCCTGGTCGAGTGTGCAGGGATGATCCAACGGAATGAGACTGACAGTGAGTACGGCCACCGACCGAAACATGGAATCGATGCCTCCCAAGGTCCACATCTCTTTGGTTCATTCGTTCCACTTTGTTTGAGATGTGAATATGGACATGAGGATATCTATTTAGAATCCATCTGCCTGTATAACCCTTTGACTTGTTTGGCGTTGGTGTAAATTCATCTAGATTGTTGTGGTCTATTGATTGTCAATGAAATGACTTATGCAGGTTGCCTTTTTATCCTTGAATATTCTCCTACTGACATTGATCTGTGTGTGTGTTATCTGCATACTCAGAGCTTCACCTCATGTTCTCACTCATGGACAAGGTGCCCAATGGTGTGGAGCCCATGTTGAAGGACCTAGAGGAGCACATCATGAGCGCTGGGCTGGCAGATATGGTGGCAGCTGCTGAGTCCATCACCAGTGTGAGTGAGCGCCACTTAGGCGAAGGCCACAGCAAGCGGGCACTTTGTAAATTCATCTTGAGCTTCCTGCCAGACTTGGTGCTCGAGGTTTTAAATTATCAGCTGAATATTTCTAAGCCTTTGGCAGGATGGCTTAGAGCCGTGGCCAAGGGCTAATTGACACAGAGCAAGGAGTGTAGGTCATTTTTACAGCAGCTGTGGGCTGGAAGACTCATGGTAAAGCTGGACAGGGATAGCAGTCGAGAGGCTCAGAGCAGGAACAACTCTGCACTCTGCACTGTCTCAACACTGAGATAAATGTGTGAGTGTTTGTGTGCTCTCTGTCCCTGTTACTGGTGTCCATGGTTCCCTGTCCAACTTGTGACATCATGGTGTCCCTCTTCCTGAAGGATGGCTAGTTCTAGACATTTGCATTTGAATTCCTTGAAATGAATTTCTTGATGTTTTCGTCCCTCATGTCTAACTGAGCCTGTCCTCTCTGCTTGTGTTGTCCTATTTCTGTAGATACTCTGCGATGACTGAGCCTTTTCATGTACTTATTTTTCTGATCCCTCCCACCCCCGCTCAGGACTCTGAGAAGTATGTGGAACAGCTCCTCACGCTGTTCAAACGCTTCAGCAGATTGGTGAAGGAAGCCTTCCGAGATGACCCTCACTTCCTGACAGCTAGGGACAAAGTGAGCCCGGCTCCGGCTATCATCATCCCGACGTTTATGTGACGTCTCTGCCTGCAGTCTGGCAGCCGTCAGAAGTAAAGTGGAAGTTCAGTGACGACGATGTGGCTACAGTGCCTGAGACTGACTTTGATGCTGTCTGTATTTTCAGGCATATAAGGCAGTGGTGAACGATGCCACCATATTTAAGCTGGAGCTCCCACTGAAACAGAAAGGGTAAAGGTCAACTCATCTGCACAGCTGTGTCACCATTACTTGAACGTCTCTGATGTTCTTGTTTCAGTAGAAGTCACAATTTGTTGTTTTTCTGTGTTATGTGACTTGATGTTTCTCGGCGAAATGCTTCTCTGTATTTTGGGTGCCTTGCTGCAGCGTCACTGCTGCCTGTGAAATTCAGTTTAGTCCTGTTGACCCATGGGTCCTGCTCCCCCCCCCCCCATACACACATCATGCAGGGGGGCGCTGAAGTCGCAGCCGGAGTCAAAGTGTCCTGAGCTGCTGGCAAACTATTGCGACATGCTGCTGAGGAAGACTCCCCTCAGCAAGAAGCTAGCATCTGAGGAGATTGAGGCCAAGCTCAAGGAGGTGGTGAGTAGGAATGCACATCCTGCTGGTCTCTTACTTACTGACTAAAGGTGCTGATTATTGTGAAGTGATCCATCCATCCACTGACTTTAAGGGATGTATGTGCTGTAGGGCTTCTCTTCAGTGATGGGTAAATGAAGCTTCATGAACCATTTGCTGTATTTTCTGACCCCACTAGATGGTGCCCTCTGCTCATAATAGGTCTCAAAGCATGCCCCAAAGCAAACCAAGAGCACCATCTAGTGGGGTCAAAAAATACAGCAAATGGTTCATGAAGCTTCATTTGCCCATCACTACTTCTTTATGAATTTTGTTGTCTTTGCTGCTGAAATGCTTCAAGAACAATAGTGTTTTTTAATGCTATTTTGGCCAGTTGTTGGTGCTGAAATATGTCCAGAACAAGGACGTCTTCATGCGGTATCATAAAGCACATCTCACTCGTCGTCTGATCCTGGACATCTCGGCAGATAGCGACATTGAGGAGAACATGGTGGAGTGGCTCAGGGTACAAGCCTTCCTTTCTCTGTAAAAATTCTTACCTGCTTACTATTCAGCATAATTAAGCTGTTTGGATATGGTTATGTGCACTTCCTGTCTGTGCAGGAAGTGGGCATGCCAGCAGATTACGTCAACAAGTTGGCTAGAATGTTTCAGGACATCAAGGTTTCTGAGGACTTGAATCAGTCCTTTAAGGAAATGCATAAACACAACAAGCTGGCCCTGCCAGGTGACTTCCTGCTTTCTGACAATAACCTGATTGTCCAGCAGAAGAGCCAAACATCTTCTCAGTGTTTGTGTGTTGGCACTCCTTGCAGCCGACTCTGCGAACATCAAGATCCTGAATGCAGGTGCCTGGTCACGTAGCTCAGAGAAGGTATCCGTATCGTTGCCAACTGAACTTGAAGACCTCATTCCGGAAGCAGAGGAGTTTTACAAGAAGAACCACAGTGGCAGGAAGCTGCACTGGAACCACCTCATGTCCAATGGCATTGTGAGTGGTGCCCTCTGTTGGCAGGGAGGTGGTCAATAAGGACATTTTTAGTTGAGATGATTATTCATCACATTTTAGTACCATTCTAGTCCTTTTTCGCTTTGAGAAACAGAATTATTTCAAAGGAAACGAAAAACACTGGAAGTAAATGTGAATTTTCCCAATCCTGTCTAGTTGTACTTAATAAAGAGGCCACTGTGTGTAAGTTCCTCTGTTCCTTTAACTTTTTATATTCTTGCAGATCACCTTCAAGAATGAAGTGGGCCAGTATGACTTGGAGGTCACCACCTTCCAGCTGGCTGTGCTCTTTGCTTGGAACCAAAGGCCCAAGGAAAGGATCAGCTTTGAGAACCTCAAGCTGGCCACGGAGCTGCCTGATGCAGAGCTACGCAGGACACTCTGGGTAAGGATGAGGTGGTGGAGGTCTGGGGTGTGTAACCAGTGGTACAGCAAGAACTGAGTAACGGGAGCTTATAGAATTGTTTGGCAGATGTTCTCTGTCTACACCCATAGTCTCTGGTAGCCTTCCCCAAGCTGAAGCGCCAGGTACTGTCCTACGAGCCCCCAGTCGCCTCTCCAAAAGACTTTTCTGATGCCACGCTCTTCCATGTCAACCAGGACTTCTCTTTGATGTAAGCATCTCCTCCTGTTGCTGACTTATGAAATGAGTGAGATGCAAATGCTACACGCATTCCAATCATCTCCGACCACTACCATGTGCCAAAGTGAAGGAAAGCCATTAACGGAGCATGTGCAACTTCACTCCCCAGAAAAAATGGCAAAGCCCAGAAGCGGGGGAAGATTAACCTGATTGGCCGGCTGCAGCTCACAACAGACCGGATGCGGGAAGAGGAAAATGAGGGTATCGTCCAGCTGAGGATACTGAGGACACAGGTAGGTCACTGACCATCAGGCAGGTGCCCCAGTCTCAACTCTGACTCAGCTGAAAACCCTGACCAGTCATGTTCCTGCCCTACTATTGCAGGAAGCCATCATCCAGATTATGAAGATGCGCAAGAAAATCAACAATGCCCAGCTCCAGACTGAGCTAGTGGAGATCCTGAAGAACATGTTCTTGCCCCAGAAGAAGATGATCAAGGAGCAGATTGAGTGGTTGATTGATCATAAGTACATTCAGCGGGATGAGATAGACATCAACACCTTTTTTTATGTGGCGTAGTGCTGGTAATGATGAGGTTGATGATGGAGAGGATGAAAGACGGCTATGATGTCTGGTGGGACTCTCAAACAGAGGCATTTCGACCATGGCTTTTGCAGTGTGTCTGGAACTACTGATATAGACCTTGGAACACAGCAGAGTCGCCACCTGCAGAACGAACACTAAATTCTCCGTTCCACCCGCAGTTCTGCACACCCACACACTCCCGATGGTCCTGGGCCGTTTTGTTTTTTTTGGTTTTCTGTGCTGGACTTGCTGAAGACACTTGATGACTGTAAATGCAGCCTTGCTGCAGTACTTGTTACTGATTTTGAGAACTTCCCTCCTGTGGGGGGGTGTAGTCTCCTGTACTGCTTTTTTGTACACCCACTCACCCTGTATAGGAGATGATCAGGGATGGGATGTTTCTACAGAACTGGGATTCAAAAGATTTCATGGAAGGGGAACCAGTTTGATAAGTGCAATGTCTCTGCCTAGTTTGAACCCACTTGCACCTAGTAGTCAGTGGCTGTGTCATTCGGAAGCCGCCCTCTGCTCTGTCGATGTTCTGTGGATGTTGAATGAACGTTTGCTTCAGATCAAGCTCCTGGGAATGTCAGTTTGCGAGCTGGGGGCAGACAGAGCTTAGTTAGTCTAAAATATAGTTCCAGAAAATCTGCATTCCTCATCCAGTTAGCTCACAGTGGAAACTTGGTTAAGTATGTTTCTAAATACCAATTTTCTAGTCTTCAGTTACACTACAGATATTTTTTTTTTGGATGGCCGGTGGTGGTAAAAGAGTTAATAAGTTCTAAGATTTTATCAGTTATTGGTCATTGTGGCCACATGTGTGTCCATGCCAGTTTCTTGGCACATATATACTGTATGTGTTTTGGCTACACTCATGGTTTCTTTAAATATTCTGTTGGATTTCACTTTTCTCTCTGAGAAATTTGGAAGGACTCGGGGCCAGGAAAAGCACCAATGCACTGGATACTAGTCTCATCAACCTGCTCTAAAAATGCAAATGATTGAGCACAAGACTGAGTTTTAGTCTTGTCTCCTCAGAAGACATAAATGTGTAAAAGTTATTTGCAGTACTATGAACAAAGATGGTTTAGTTCTGTATATACACTATATAGCCAGAAGTATGCAGATACCAGCTTGCCCAGCATCTCTTTCCAAAACAAAGGGTATTAATATGAAGTTGATCCATCCCTTGTTGCTATAAGAACCTGTACTTTTCTGGGAAGGCTTTCCATTAGATGCTGGAACATTGCTGGTGGGATTTGCTGCCATTCAGGTTAGGTATTGATGCTGGGTGATCAGGTCCCTGTCTGTGAGCCTGCGTGGCCCCAACTTCTCAGCTGAACTTACCCCCAGATGTTTCCATTTTGCTTGCGGCTGAGTAGCGCAGCTCTAGCAGGGCAGAAATTGTACAAACTGACTGATGGTGCCTATGTGGGTATCACGTTGAAAGCAATTAATCTCTTCTGCATGAGTACCAAGTGTTTGTTGCCAGATATGGTATGATTGTGCTTGTGCAGTAGTGTCAGCAGTGGATGTGGTTTAATTAACCAACAGAAATGTCCACATACTTTTGACCGTATAGTGTATTTGATAATGAATCGCACTGGAAAACTCAAGTGTAATTCCAAATGCTACCACTTGCAAGCTGATATTGGGCTGTCATAGATTACCAGCACAAGCTGCTTGTATCTGCACCATTCTACACAAAGGCAGGGGCCACTGCAAATATATGTCAACTTTACATTTTTCTGGAACTTTTGCAAAGAATAGCTAGGAACAGATGGACATTTTAATAGCTCAGATCTCAGCTCAGGAGAACATCTTTGGCATGATTCGGAACTCAGAAATAGAGCAATTCATGGCTGTCTTTGGAAGCAGATCTTACTGACATTTCAAAGGAGAATTGGAGTATATAACCACTAGCTTTATACTAGAATTAACAGAAGTGTTCCGCAATATGCAGAAGAAGTCAGTATGGTCAAAGTTGCACCAATATACTATTAAAACACATTTATGACTACATGTGGATTTTTGTTGGATAGTGCGCATGCTGTCTAAGGAGTGTTTGCTGTAATTCTCCCCTCCATTAGAGTTACCTGAACCACCCCTGCTGGTGATGATCTAAACCAGTGTTTCTCAACCCAGTCCGCAGGGACCCCCAGGCTTTCCACCTTTATACTCCCTTCCAGCTCCCAGCCAATCAGGAACAGGTGCACTGGGAGCTGGGAGGGAGCGAAAAATGTGGACTGTCTGGGGGTCCCTGAAGACCGAGTTGAGAAACACTGGTGTAAACAATCCACTTCTACGGTTTAGAAGCTTTTGTTGCCTTTGGGTGTATGTGAAAGCACAAGAGCAGGTTTCAGTCATAATCCCTCCCTTAAAGCTTTGCTCTCAGCTTGGCATTGAACCAAATAAATTACTCCAGTGTTCAGTTTTGCTGATATTGGGTTGTTTCTCACTCTTTTGACATTCTTTTGTCACTACTCACTGGTCTGAAATTGTTGGAATCACTTTGTGCATTAGTGCCCCCCTGGGGTACTGGTGGGTGTAAATGACATGCACTTGATTAAAGATTTTGTCTGTGAAATATACATTCTTCATTTTGTGTCCTGTCCGACTTTCCTAGCAAGCATGAACCTGAAAAGCACTCAGGATATACATAATGGACATTTTAAAAATTTGATTGTCTGGGAATCACTAGCTATCGCTTCAATAACGTTAAATAAAGGGGGTATTTTTTTAAAAAAAAATGCGCTGACTTGTGTTTTCGGCTTTTCATGTAACCTTATTAAGTCACATATAAATCGGTTTAAACTTTAGCCTGTGGAGATGCATAACGACCAACCTTTCCTATTGAAGTGGCTCGCCTTCCATCAGTCTCTATTGGTAACATAAACGGAGTGACGTAACGCCAAACCAGTGCGCTGTATTTCAACACCTGGAACGGACCACTTTTACAAATGGGAACTAGTACTTCGAATATAACACAGTGCAGCACTCTGTAATGTGTGTATTTTATTATTCGAAGTTAAGTATATTATATATGCTTTTTTGATATATAAAAGTAGCTTTCTGTTCTATTTGGCTTTTGTGCGTCAATAAAAAATTCTGTGACACCCCTCTGGCGGTGACACGGTACCGCCCGAGCGGCTCCTGCCCCGGAAGATGGGAGTTCGCAGTGCCGGTGTGATAAAGTACCAGTTATTGACATCCTTGCCGGTGGACAGGCGTCACATTTCGGGCGTACGAGAGAGCGGCTTGTTGAAATTTCAAGGTTTGGATCACTAGCACGGGTACATCTCTGCATGTGGCGGCAGCGCAGCAGCTGCGAATCAGTCGCGTCAGGTTATTTATTTCAGCTCAGTTACTTTGTAGCTACCACAGTTAGGGACCCCGATGTGCTGCACATATGCGGCTAGCTACTTTGTAGCCATCACCGGCTGGTTAAGTCCGTATTTAAGCTCTGGTGTCTCTAGTGTGAGATCCCCGACGCCGATACGGTGATCGTGTTGACCCAGGGTAAATGCAGCCTATCTTGATGGCAATACGGTTAATGGGTCAGCCGGATGGTTGACTCGTCGACTGCTGGCTCAACACATAACAAAGAAACTGGGCAACCAGCTTGGTAACCACCACAGCACCCAGTGCAGGTCGATGTGTTTAAATAAAGAAAACGAACCAGGCGCCGTGGAACTGCTACTGCGCTTGCTGCCCGTGTCCAGCTGTCTGGGTTTTCTGCATGAGGTCTGACCTAAACCCTGCTGCCTTAGGAGACCGCATCGATGCCGCTTTATTAACTAACCAGTATGAGTCCAGTAGGCGTACAGCGTGTAATCGGACTGGCCCTGCAGTCCATATGATGCACGTACATTATCGCTGTATGCTGCCGAGAGTCGTGCCACTTGCTGGTGGCGCAGTTGTATTTCGATACTGAAAGGACCAAATAAAATAAGACAGATTTCTGGATGCAGTCAGAGGACCGTGTGTCATCTGCATTTCTGGTTAATCTGTGTTAAACGTGCTCTGGAGCTGATAGTCAATAATAATCAGGGATCCCTCATTTTATCCGACGTACAGCCAACACTTGATGACAGACAAGTCTCCCACAAAATGGTTCTCATGAGTCAAAGCAGAATAACAAACCTAGTTAATGCTGCTGTTCTGTTTTCTTCCTTTTTCCTTATGCGCTTATTGTACAGGGCATGATCGGTGTTATACGTTTGTAACTGGCTTTAATTTTAATTCTTGGAATGTTACTGCCGTCCGTATTGTATTTTCCATTTTGCGACAAACTGGAAATTATTTACGGGCAGCTCTGATTTTGTTTGTCATAGAAAGTCGAAATAATATATGCAATAGATAAAAACGTCTCTGTTTTCCTGAAAAGGTTCTTGTTTTTGTTGCTCCTCATGCAGTGAAGTAACTGTCCGTACTGCTTGACACCAGTCTCTGGATAGCCCGGTAAGGAACCATCCTGCGTAGTGTCTATAGCAGAAAACCTTGATTAATAGTAACTTTTCTAAAATATTAGAATAGAGGAGGTTGCTATTCTCCTGAATTATGTAAGTCATGTTCAAGGCTGTTTGTACCTGACTAGTGTTGCTCTCTCTCTTTCTCTCCCTCCCTCTCTCTTTCTCTCCCTCCCTCCCTCTCTCCCTCTGTGTGTGTGTGTGTGTGTGTGTGTGTGTGTGTAATAGAGGATCTGAATGGACAAGAGGACCAGAAATTTATAGGAAGCCAGGTATCCCTTTTTGAAGATCATGTCATATTGTGTTTTCGATACGATTTGTCTAAATCAATTTTCCAATGTGTCTCTAGACCAGGGGTGTCAAACTGCAGTCCTGAGGGGCTGGAGCCCTGTCTAGCTTAGTTCTTTCCCTGTTCCACCACAAATGATTCAGCTCAAGAGCTGTGTGGTAATTAGCACAAGAAGTTGAATCAGGTGTGTTAAATGAGGGGAAAATTGAAAATGAGCAGGGCTCCAGCCCTCCAGTTTGACACCCGTGCTCTAGAACATCTCCCGTCAAATGCGTACACAGAAGTCTCCGTTGTAGAGAAGTAGATACCTTGCATTGAAACTAATGGTGCCGACTGAGGATCATCCAATACGGCTGCCAGATCCTCTAGTGTTTTGAGCTCCTTCCCCTCTGGAGGGATCAGAGGAGCTGGTTCTGACCTGACTCTACCCTCATACCCCCCCCCCCCCCCCCCCCCCCCCCCCACTACCACTTCTAGGCCAAGGTAGACCAGACAAACCCAGTGCCGACTTCAGTATGCCAGTTAAAAAAAAGAGAAAGTCATCCGGCTCCGATGATCCCGGACTCAGGAAATGCAAAATTACCAAGTGAGTGTTACTACTGTTATTTGTACTACTGTAAGTAGGATTGGTTTGACTGGTGCAAACCCAGAGTAACTTGCATACCTTGTAATTTTGCCAATTTACTAAACTCTGTAGACAGTTTACTGAAGCAGTGGAGCTGTTCTTGTGACCTAAGGTCTAAGGTTGTCAGTTAAAGGGGAAGTGCCTGTTGCGTGATGCTGGTGTGTTACACACCCTTCTTCTGCGAGGACTTGTTTTTCCTACTTATTTTTTTTTTCTGTTTCTATCATTCAGTTTTTGTAGGACATCTACTTCGGGTAGGTTGATCAGTCCTGAAGACCACTTTTCCAGCAAGAAGTGCCTTTCCTGGTTTTATGAGTATGCAGGTATGTGTGTATAGGGGGGAAACTCTGTAGACTCAAGTGCTAATTATGAGCACATGTCAGATTGTAAAGCAAACATCTAAAAAAAAAAAAACGACCCCATTATGCAGGTTTATGAACCAAAGTTGTAAGACACACGCTGTACTTATTTGGTACCTTATCCTGCCGGAACATGTTCTGGGACCTCTCTGTTTTTATTTACAAAATAGAATCAAATAAGTATGCATTTTATTTTGCAGACCTATTTTCATGCAATTTCATATCCTGTATCAGCTTCAATTTAGTCTTAAGAATACACAGCATGTTTTCAGGACTTTTTCCGGGTGTTTTATACGCCTTCCGGGACCTGCACCCACCTCGTTATCCCTCTACTCTCATACGCCCTTTGCGTTCTGGCACCTTCTGATTAACAAATCAGGGACTGGCCACTCGTCACAAGCATTTAATTGATGTGTTCGCTCTCCTCTCCTTAATGTTTTGGTACAGTATTGGAGCGCCCCACTTCTCTCTCCTTCACTTAACTGTTGTACAGGCTGGTAAGATTGTTATGTTTTCAGGCCCAGATGAGGTTGTTGGACCAGAAGGCATGGAGAAGTTCTGCGAGGATATTGGAGTTGAGCCTGAAAACGTGAGCTTCTCCCTAAGCCTCCTGACTTTTGCTATATGAATGTATTTTGTAAACTCCACAAAGGCATTTACATACAGGCACTTTGCAGCTTATGATTGGTCTTTACTATAGAGGTTTGTGCTTTGAACGATTCTATACCATACAGAATACTTGTTGGTTAGACTTTCGGGGTAGCAGATATATTCAATTTCATCCTGTCTGCCTCATTCATTGTTGTAATTAAACATATTTAGTATGTGGAACTAGCTTGTACTCGGCTGCTTATTATGTGTAGCCCAGGTAGTGTTATCTTGTAGTACTTTTGCATTATTTTACATCCATGTAAATATGTGTGTTTCTAACCTTACTTTGATTCTGTGTTTTTGCAGATTGTTATGTTAGTCTTAGCCTGGAAACTCGATGCACTAAATATGGGCTTTTTCACTAAAGAGGAATGGATGAAGGGAATGACTTCGTTACAGTAAGAGATTCTGCTTCCTTGCAGAGCTGCTGAAGTTTATCCTGTGATTGATATCCTGCTCTCATTTTTATGCTCTTTACATTTTAATAGATTTGGGATTTTGCTGCACCTGTAAGGATAAAGCATTGTTTTACTATTGTCTTTGAATATTTGCCACCATAACCCCCCCCCCACACACACACACACACAGATGCGACAGCAACGAGCGTTTGCAGGAGAAGCTTGACTACTTGAGGTCGCAGCTCAATGACACGGCTGCATTTAAAAACATCTACAGATATGCCTTTGATTTCGCAAGGGTGAGCTCCAGCTTGTGATTTCTTGCCTTCAGCTGAATCGGCATGTATTCCGCTCTGCTTCTCATGTTTTTCTTTATCTTCTCTGGCCCCTTTATATATGACTTCTCTCTCACTCTCCAGGATAAAGACCTGCGCAGTCTTGATATGGACACAGCCAAATCCATGCTAGCTTTGCTTCTGGGCCGCACTTGGCCGCTGTTCCCAGTTTTTCACCAGTTTTTGGAGGTTTGTTTCAAGCCCCTCCCCCCAACACACAAACAGATGCTCAATTTCACCCTCATGTAATTTGTTTACTTTCGTTGCTGTTTTCCCCGTCTGGTTGTACTCCCCCTCCTCTTATTATCTTTGCTTTTAGGTACTAACTAGTGTTTGACTTCCTGTTCTTGTGTTTTTTTCCCCCTCTTTTAGCAATCCAGGTACAAAGTGATGAATAAGGACCAATGGTACAACGTATTAGAATTCAGCAGGACTGTCCAGGCAGATCTTAGTAACTATGATGAAGATGGAGCTTGTGAGTCTGCATGCTGCGTGGCTGTATGTAGTGATGGCCAAATGAAGCTTCATGAACCACTTGTGGTATTTCCTAACCCCACTAGATGGTGCTGTTTGTTCAAATAGGGCTCAAAGCATAACCCAAAGTAAGCCAAGACCACCACCTAGTGGGGTCAAAAAAATACACCAAATAGTTCATGAGGCTTCATTTGGCCATCGCTAGCTGTGTGTAAGTGCGCTGCAATTAACCCTCTGGGGTCGAGTGCATCGTCGGCAACGCAGCGTACTTTTCGCGTCTATTTCAGTTTATATCTCGCTGAAATCTTAATGTAGAATCATGAAAAAAACGCTGGCTAAATCCGTAATCTGTCTTCTTTTCAAAATGTCCATTGTCAGAAGTATTAAAGTTTTTAATTAGGTTAAATCAGCAAAAAAAGTAAACCATGTCACCTTAATTTGTTTTACCTGCGTCAGGGGCGTGTAGTACCGCTCTCACCCGAAGATCGCTATTTACATTCTAAATAGCCGCATTAGCGCGTATTCAAATCGCATTCGCATGGTAATTTGATTAACAGCGCAACGGTGAAACGCGATCCAGATACATCCCCTTCAGTGCCATAAAAGGGGGGAGGGACGTGGCCAGGTGACAATGGCTCATTCATACACATGAAAGTTGCTACATATTCAATGAAAGGAGCCAGAAATAGTGACATGAGTTAAGTTCTTCTTATTTATTTATCCAAATGAATGTTGCAACTACACCATTTAGTCATCTTCATGTAGCCAAGACTTTGGTGATCAGATATCTGGGATCAAAACAAATTGCCAGCATTGCTTACTATTTACTTTTATAATGTTTCTGCAAGTGTTCCAAACTGCATTTTGCAATGTATATACTTTGATGTCAAATTACAAACTTAAAAAAAATCTGACATATCTTTATTTTAATGTATATTGTAAATGAGTGTAATGCCAAAACAAATATATAACAAATAATTTATTTGCCATGAATTAAGTTTATGATATTTGAAGAAATGTGTGATCATGCCCCAGTCAGTGAAAGTGTGTTTCCTACCCCTAGACCCCAGAGGGTTACACAGCATTTATGAGCATCTGTTTGTGTATTTCTTCTTCTACTTCTGTTCTCCATAACTACTGAAAGTGTATTTTACACAACTGCATGCTGTGTGAATGGATGCACTCATTACACAGCCTTGCTGTCTCCATATTCTCTGCTAATTTGTGGGAAAAAAACCCCTAAATGTCAATTGGAGATGTGCACAATGAAGCAGATCCTCTGGGTGTGGTGAATGCTCCCATAACTGCTTACTCCTCCTCCTTACCTCCCCAGGGCCGGTGCTGTTGGACGAGTTTGTTGAATGGCAGAAGGTTCGACCTGCATTGTAGCAGTGAAGGCTGATGAAAATAAGATGCACAGCATGGGAATCGGTGTGCCCTTCCTCGCTCCAGCAGCACTCCTGCAAGGACTGCTGTTACATCCCACTAGACACTTCACTCTTTGCCCCCAAATGACTGCATCAGGCTTGTATATCCACATGGGGGCGCTGTCTTAGTTTGACCCAGTCTGGGGCCATGATTACAAAACCAGTGTTGGAACATCATTTGGGCTTTGTGTTTTGCTTTAGTTGATTTTAGTCCCATCTTTGTTAATAAAATGTTTTTGGTAATGGGAATAAAGAATGGACTTGCTAGCTTTGGGATTGTGGTGGTATGGGGAATGGGCCTTCTGTACAGTCTAGTGACCCTGCTGTGGGACACATGCCAAACTGCTTTTACCATGTTGTATAATGCTGGGAAGCATTTACCTGTGGGCAATGAGGCGATTGCTCCCAAAGCTCCTGTGTAATTTCTTCCTGTTACCATGGAGTGACCCCAATACTTAGAGACCTCTAAGTTACACTGATCATCGCCGTTATCTCCTGAGTATTTAATCTGTGATTATATTGTTGTGTTGGGTGTGACCATTCTTTTGCTTGTGTATTTGACCCAGGGATGAAGTACTTGATAGATTTTTTAAAATATGTTAATTTCGCTTATTTCCTCTGGTATGGTAAGAAATAAACTACCAACAGAGACTCAAGGTGGAACACTTCCACATCTTTGTAATCTGTTAATTCATGCTTGATTGCCTTGTTAATTTGTCAATCAAGGTCTAATTTTAAATGGTACAAATGGTAATAATTTGTAAATCAAGTTAGGGGACAGGCCTGTGGTTATTTACGTGCCCAAAATGATGGTAACAGTGCTCAGATGATGCAAAATTGGCCGATGTTGGTACAAATTCAAAAGTATGTCAGTTGTTATAAGGTAGTTTTGCTAGTAACATAAAGATAGCGTAATTACAGTACCTTATAGTATGATGATTCATTTAAATTTTACTTATTACAGTTGTATTATTTGTAATATACAGCATGTCTTTGTGGTGCGGTGGTACAAGCCATTAAAAGTTTCTACGGTTTATGCCATTTTTTTCACGATTTTAATGTTCCACTGTTATCGGTAATCGAAAATTTTTGGCTTCCGTATGCTTTTATTGCACACCGCGGTTTTTCGCCGCAGGGTAATTAAGTTCATTTATGTTAACATGTGTCTCTCGATTTCCCGTGGAGTGATTATGCGTGTGAGCGCGTCTGCCCTGAGATGGACTGGCATCTCATCCAAGGTGTATTCCAGCCTTGTGCCGGATGACGTCTGGCAGGGGATCCAAGCCACGCGACGTTAACCGAGATAAGTGGTGAATATTTATCAATCTATTTCGCTTGTCGTCCACAAGACGGAGACAACGTAGTGCTACGCGAATATGACATGAAATTGTCATTATGTTTTTATTATTCATTCGAATTAGTCTTTTTATAGCATGTGATATTTACTGGGAAGTCCCCAGGTTTGTTCACTTGTAAAAATGGGGTGAAACAATGTGTAAGATAATTTAATGTGTGGCGCACACGAATCCAAATCCTGGAGCAGTCGTGAGTGTCGGAAATCGCGGGGGTAAGCACACAGACAAACGCTACAGGTAATAATCTGCTAATTTAATGATTAAATCAAGGTGAGTAAGTTGAATGCCAGGATGACGTTATTGCGCTGCTGGATGCATAAATAATGTAACAGCCGTTGCTCGCTTATTAAGCATACCGGTTTATGGCCGCACCGGGACTCCCAGATGCGCTCCTCGGCTCGCTGTCACTCAGCGCGGCATTAAAGTACCACGTTGTCATGAAAATCTGGACGTGTTACCGTCACTTTTCAGTGTCTCTTCTTATTATAATGTATAATTTAATTGCACTAATCACGCCTTGCGCAGTCATTTATAGAGCTTCGCGTTTTATTTAAAGACCATTGCTTTCAGATTTGTCACGGAAAAGGATTGGCCTCTTTAAATAATCCCAATGTTTAATAAAAATGTTTTTAGTTTATTCTCACAAATTTGTCATCATACCATTGTTCTCAGCTGGACTAGCTGGGTAGAAATATAAATGGTAGGTAGAAGGGAATTTTACTTTTCTTCTTTCGGAAGGAACTTGTGATTATTCCATGCAAATTATACATGAAGGCCAAAAGCAGCGTGATTGATTGATGGGCTGTCTGAGTTTCGGTAGCACCACGTCGTCTTGCTGTAGGGGAAGATTACTGTACTGTATTTAAAACGCATAAGGGCCCGGGCTCACGGGTTCAGGATCGCACATGCTCAGTCGCAGTAGATGCTCCGCTTGCTGGCTCCTCCCCGGCTTGTGAGAGGAGACGCCGGAGAGAAATCGTGCATCGCGTCGCAGGAGTGAAACACGGGACACCCGAGAGCGTCGCTGGAAGCGCGGAAAAGCGGAGAGCACGTCACCCTGCCCGGGTAAGGGATTGCAGCACCCATCAAAAGGAGACTGCCTGTACAATGCGTGCGTGTGTGAGAGAGTGTGTCTGGGGGAGGGGGACTTCAGGAAATTATAACAGATTAGAGGAGATACTTAAGGAAAGCGCATTACGCTTGCAAATGACAGCGCAGATCGCGATCCGATTATCGCCTGATTAATGGCACGGTCCATGCTTTTTGTGCAGGGATGGCTTGATGACGCCTTGCGCTGCTGTACACTGGATGTTTGAGCAGAGTAGGGTCTGCGCTTGTCAGTCCAGGAAGGACTGACAGAGAGCATTTTGTCATATCGAGCTCAAAGGGATGTCGACCCAATAAACGGTTACGTCGCGGTAAAACTTGCTTTGATACGTGCAATATCTTTTATTTCCACCCCTGGATATATCATTGTTATTGTTTTTCGCTGGCATGCGACCAGATTAAAGCGTATAAATACATCAGCGTCTATCAGGCTCCAACAAAGCTGTGCTATACTTGGATGCTGGACCGGCGCGCTTAAGCGCGGTAGTTTATACGGCGCCGGCAAAGACCCTGGGAAAACCTCTGTATCTAGGAGATGGAGGGAGAGAATAGAGCTAGAAGCTTCACCGAGTTACCCTCTCATTAATTCTGGGCATAGTCCAGCCCCCTCCCGTCTGAGTGACTACTGCAACAGACCGCAAGGGAAGCCCCCTCCAGTAGGAGGCTTTGTCTGCATAACTGTGTTTTGGACCTGAGTCACTGGGCTGTGACAGGGTAATCTCCTCACATGCATAGCTTCACTCGCCGCTTGTGTGGCAAGGTGTGTGCAAGCCAACCCTCAGCCCAGCGCATGCTGTGGGGGCAGCACTTGTAAACACCTCCATGTTTCAGCGTCATCATAGCATCTGCACCTGAGGAGGATGCCTGTGGTTGTGTTCGGATGCACCTGCCCACTTCGAAACTTACACTGTCCCAGCATCTATGTCACTACTTCGTTATAGGTGTAATTCCAGGTGACGGCCGCTGATCTTAACAAAATGTGTGATTTTAACAACGAAGGTAGCTATATGTTTCAGAACTTGGCTGGAGGGTTCTTCGGTATGGATTGATTTATAGATCAGTTTTAAATCTGTTTGTGCTGAATTTTAATAATCTCCCAGATGACTGGGGTAAGAGAAGAGTGGGACAGCAAATGTATTTCTCGGGTTCCGTCTTGGTGCTAAGTCCCAGTGTCTCTCTGTAAGGAAATGCCATTCTCCTTCAAGCCAGTGCGACCGCACACACGGCACTAACGAGATTAGTGGGGTCGTCTCTTTTATCCAGCCAAAGAATCACCCTGGAAACCGAGCCCCGTTTCCATGGGCTACTGGCAGGAGAGCCCCTTCCTTCTCTTGTCCTCCTCCATGCTCTGTGACAGGGGTTGCTGACCAGATCAATGCGGACAGGGAGCAAAAGCCCCATGGAGCGATACCGTAACTGGATGAGGCGCAGCAGTTAAGGGCTGATGAGTAGCATGGATATTATCTTGGGGGAGACGTATTTTCACAGTGTCCCGCAGTTCACCAGGGGACTCTCTCCTCTGAGCCGGAGAGGAACCCTACCTCCGCACACTGCGTGGGCTCCCCCCACCCCGCCCACATAGCAGTCTCCGTTTCCAGGGTTACCATTACCCCCCAGCACACCCTGCAGTCAGGCGGGGGGAGACAATGATGTCGTGACGGAGGGTAATATCGCTGGGAATGGCAGACATTACAGCCAAGGGGCGATCAGTTGTGGTTAATATTATATCACTATATTCACTACTTAGTTGCTATTTGTTTTAAATTTTGTTTGAGATGAACTGTGGACATAACCAGCTCCTGAAACTAACCTTTGGAAGGTTCTAACCTGGTTAGGAATCACTCATTCCCCGCTGGTGTGTACACATGTCTGGAGTTTTCTGACATATGCCTTGAATGCACTATAATGCCTGCGAGATTGTGATCCCTGCTGCCACTGTGTCTGGTGGCTCTTTGTAAGTGGATCTCGCTAAAAGCGCTGCCTGGTCTGCTGTCGTCGCCTCTTCTTCAGCTGGCATGAAATTCAAGGAATTTCCTCACATAACACGTCCAGGGTGTTCCCCTGCCTTGTGCTCTGTGCTGCCCCTCCCCCCAGACCAAGATAAATAAAGATGGATGGATGGATGGAAATCGCTCCATTCATAGGTGTCAAAGGCACAACAGCAATAAGGCAATGATGATTGATGCTGGGATGATTGAGAAGGCTGCCAATGCGAAGTGGGTGGAAGGTTCCATCTAACCCCAGAATGAACGGCCCTATCTCCACAGTGCCGCCCTTGAGGCCGTCTGTTGTAATTGCAGGCAGGCGGCAGCATGTTCTCTTCAGTGAAACCCTTCAAGGGGCAACAGTATTCCTCACTAAAGCGGCAGTGCGTGCAGAGGGGGGTGCTCTTTGAGGACCCCTGCTTTCCAGCCGTCGACGAGTCCCTTTTCTACCATGGAAACCGCATCGGGCGGGTCACCTGGAAGAGACCAAAGGTGAGGCGCCTGCACTCGGTGTTACACGAACGCGTCAATCTCTCAGACACATTCATCAGCATTCTGCAGAGTAACACCTGTCTTGCATCACTTGGCTCTCTCACTCCTGCATGTCACTCTCTCGAAAGCTAAACTCGGGAAAATATTCTGGTTGGATGTGTCTGGAATTTACAGATGAGCTTGGTAAGGGAGATCTTCTTGGTGTGCTTTGGGCTGGTTCAGTTGCACACCTTCCCTGGGTTTAATAAATAATGTTTGATGGCACCAAGCCTCGCAAGCCTCTATCTGACAAGCTCATTTTCAGGTTTTGAGTAAGCGTGTTTGCCGCATGTCGGTGTTCAATTTGACAGCCTCTGTAATACAATCGGCTGGAACATCACAATGTCTCATTATGTCCGGTCATTCTGACAGTCCCATTGGTTACACGGGGAGTCCAAGCCCATCTGAGCAGAATCCATAAGTCGTTGCTGCCTCTGGCTGCGGTTCTTTGCTGATCAGAGGCCTATATGAATTTGGGTTCCGTGGTCTAGACTGACTAGGGTTATGGTTTGGGTCTGGACTGGTTTAGGGAGGGGTATTTATTATCCAGTTTAGTGACTCAGCTCATCCAATAGGCTGGCAGCAGAGGGCATTTAGAGAGGGAGATGAAGATGTAAGTGGTCCACAGGCCTTGTCTAGCATGGATTTAATGCCTATATTTAATCTTAGCTAGTGTTACAGTCTGTACATTATAAGACTATGCAAGACATTTTACTCTGATTTAGATAAATGAGTGTGGTTAGGGACATAAACCATATTTATGACTGTAGTTTCAGGCTTGCACAGAGGAAGTAAAGGAGTGTGTGTCATTATGGTTATAGTGCTTAATAGGTGGCTTTTATGGGTTCTTAGTGCAGAGGATGCTGGGAATTTGAGACGGGGCAGAGGGCCTTTGTTTGTGATTTCCAGTTTTTACTTTGTTTCTGCTGAGTCGACCTCTGATTTAGCCTCCCAAACTGCTACGGAGAACTGAGTTATGGCTGTCTTATCTGTCTCTTTGTGCTCTCCAATGCCGCCTGCCAATCACTTGGGGTCGTCTTTCAGGGAATTTACAGTGTCTCCATAGTCACCACAATGAATATCTCAGAATTAAATACCTGAACAAAAGACGTAACCTTTGTCGGCAGTTCTTATTTAAAAATACAGGTTTGAAGGCCAGAACAGTCACTGCAGCAATAATATTAGGAAAGTAACATTGTGCCCCCTGCTGTAGATTTATTGTCACTGCAGACTTGGACTGGGAGTCCGTGCTGTTGCCAGATTGTATCTCCCAGTCTCTCCCTCTAATTGTTATTCATACTTAGACCCACAGAGACCTTATCGCTAGGACAGTAAATAGACTGGTGAGGCAGTTGAAGGTAAAGCATCTCCTCCATCTTATCAACTCCACTCTCTCCTCTGTAACTGTCCTCAACATATTCGACATTTATCCTGTATCTTGTTCTATCGTTTCCTCACACAGCACTGTAACCTGTTCATTCCCAGCATTCTCTCACTCTCCACCTTCTCCCGTTCTTTTATGATCTTCCCCCTCATCTTCTCACCCTGTTGCTCTCTCTTATATTTTCTCTCTTGCCCCCTCCTCCATCCCTGCCTGGACTCCAGGAGCTGTGTGATGACCCCCACCTGTTTGTGGATGGAATCAGCGCCCATGACCTGCACCAGGGACAGCTGGGGAACTGCTGGTTTGTGGCAGCCTGCTCTAGCTTGGCCTCCAGGGAGTCACTGTGGCAGAAAGTGAGTGAGAGTGTGGGTGATATAGATAGAGAGAGAGTGAGAGGATGTGTGTGTTTGTGTGTAATGAAAAGACCTTGTTCATCTGAACATGCAGAGCTGTAAGCCGCACATTATGATATCCATCATCCAAATGGCTATCGGGGTCAGGGTCTGTTCCAAGCAGCGACAGGCACAAGGCTGACCACACCCTGGACAGAATGCCAGTAATTTGCCACAAGCTATGGGAAATGTAGATACACCAGTTAGCCTAACCACGTGTGATGAACTGTGGGAGGGACCAGAGGAAACCCATGTGACATGTGGCAATCATACAAACTCCACATGCACAAAGCGGGGGTGGCATTCAAAACCCCAGCACGGAAGCTGGGAGACAACAGCGCCACCTACTGAGCCACGATGCCACCTATGGCTGCAGCTATCACAGGGGTGTCAGACTCCAGTCCTGGGGGGCCAGAGCCCTGCACAGTTTTTGGTTTACCCTCGTTTAACACCTGATTCAATTTGTGCTAATTAGAACACAACTCTTGAGCTGAATCATTTGTGGTAGAATAGGAAAGAACAAAGAACTAAACTACACTGGGCTCCGCCCCCCCAGGACTGGAGTTTGACACCCTTGAGCTATCAGGTACTTTTCTATCCCAATTTTCATTACTCTGTCGATTATTCTGATGAAATAATGAAGTGAAAATAACTCAGTTGCCTTGTCTTTTAAAAGGTATAAAATAAATAGAAAGATGCCCAATGGTTGTACACTGTACAAAATGTATATCGTCAAATAGGCTTCTTTTTGAGATGAAACAATGACATTTTAATTATGATTCTCACATTGTGCTCAAAATATATCTAGCTAACGAGTCACCTTGTGGGATATGAGCGCCCCCTGCCAGACCTCTGACTGATGTGGCTGTTGACAAACAGCTTAATTTTCATTCCTTCCCTCCCCTCCATTTTTGCTCACCAAGCCGTAAAGAATTACAGTTTCCCTGTGATGGACAAAATGATGCTTCATTAACCATTTGCTGTATTTTTTGACCCCAGGAGATGGTGCTCTTTATTTGCTTTGGGGCATGCTTTGTGCTGTTTTTTGAACAGAGAGCACCATCTAGTGGAGTCAAAAATACAGCAAATGGTTCATTTTGTCCATCACTACGGTTGACACTGAAGGACTCATACTGGAAATGGAATCTGCAATTCTCCTGTTTGCAGAATTGTGAAACAACAAACATTGTAAATTATTTAAACTTTTTATTCAACGCATTTTTATTTTCAAGTTTACAGAAATTACTCTGTTTTTGAAATCCCAGTGTTGCTTAGTGGTATTCATATTGTAATTTGATTTTGTTCAATTAAATCCCAGTTCAGTTTAATATTACTAAAATTACTTAAAGTCAGGCTTGCTCGTCATACGTTACAGTATTGGGAACCAAAACTCGCTCCGTCCTCATACAAGGAAATGGTTGGTGTTACAATAAATATTACTGTTGTGACAATAAAGCCCCAGCTGATTTGCCTTGACTTGATTTGAAGTCCACAGAAATTTTCTCAAACGTATCCAACGTATTCCAGATGTGTGAAATAAGCTGACTGATTTAAGCGAGTTACTCCTGCTGTGGGTGGGCAGGACATTTACCCTTGGGCTAGGCTTACAGCGTGAGTGAATTTATGGGTGTGTCCAGGTCATTCCGGACTGGAAGGAGCAGGAGTGGGACACTGAGAAGCCTGAGACCTATGCTGGCATCTTTCATTTTCGATTCTGGCGGTTTGGCGAATGGGTGGATGTGGTGATCGATGACCGCCTACCTACCGTGGACAACCAGCTGGTCTACTGCCACTCAGATGACAGCAATGAGTTCTGGAGCGCTCTTGTGGAGAAGGCCTATGCCAAGCAAGTATAGCCTACCATGGTCTGGAGCCAGACCTTAAAGCAACTAAATGGGATTTATGGGTCGAGCTTTTGTTCTGTGCTTGAACCCTTTTTGACAACTTATTTGAGGATTTTTGGCTCCAGCCATAACACTACATGTTGCTAGTGGTGTTCTACCAGTGTTGCTCTGCTAGTGTTGTTCAATCAGTGTTATTTATGACCATTGAAGTTCATGTGTGACCTATGACCTTTATAAGATTTCCTCTAAATTAGCTAATGTTCACCTCCCATGTTCTCCCCCACTACCTCCTGACAGGGTATATGGCTGCTATGAGGCGCTGGATGGCGGCAACACGGCCGACGCCCTGGTAGACTTCACGGGGGGGGTGTCGGAGCCAGTGGACCTACTGGAGGGCCAGTACGCTCAAGACGAGGCCACCCGCAACCAGCTGTTCGAGAGGGTCCTGAAGGTCCACAACCGGGATGGGCTCATCAGCTGCTCCATCAGGGTGAGGGGCTGGGCTGGTGCTGAGTGGGTGGGACACACTGCGGCTTGTTGGAGTAGCCACATCTCGGGTATTAGAGCTCAACATCACCAGAGCTCAGCATAAATCTCCTAAATAATAATAATAATAATAATAATAATAATAATAACCTGCAAGCTGGTCCAACTGTATATTTCAAGTTTCTTGTTATTTTTCCTCAGAAGGCTTTTAAAATAGTTATTTAAAAACAAAGCTCTGAAATAGTGGCAGCACAGGCTGCAGCAACCTGCAGAATTCTGCTCCCAGCTCGAGAGTTGCTGCAGTGCTGCCAATGGGGTGGAAATTTGATTGAGGACTGAATGAGGAGGCTCCCAGGAGTCGGACCCTCATCTGCATTCCTCTCCCCCTGCAATGCAAATCCAGAAGCGCATGTAAATTGATAAACGACCTGTGTCACCCTCGCTGACAGTGGTGCTTTATTTACGATCATCCTCGGGGGTGCTTGAGGGCCGTACCTTCACCACTCAGTGCGCCCGCCGTTCTGTTTCCCAGGCGACCACGGTGGAAGACATGGAGGCACGGCTGGAGTGTGGCCTGGTGAAGGGCCATGCCTATGCTGTGACCGACGTGCGGAAGGTGCGCCTGGGCCATGGCCTGCTCGCCTTCTTCAAGTCCGAGAAGCTCTGCATGATACGCATGAGGAACCCCTGGGGGGAGAAGGAGTGGAGCGGGCCCTGGAGTGACAGGTAATATGCTGCCCCCTTCAGGCAGGGATGCCTTTCACGCAGTACTTCGGAGTAGATACTCTACAGGAAATCAAAACGACTTCTGCATTGTCCAAGATCATAGGTGATTTTACCGGGGGTGCTGGGGGTGCACCCCTTACTGGTCACATGAAAATATATTTGAACATATTAAGTTCAATAAAATTGAATTGTTTTTGTACAATTTGAAAATGTGGCTTTTGTTTCTATGTAATAATAATTTGTTGTAAATGTATTTATTTTGTTTTTTGTTACAAATTTATTTATCTGGATGAATGACTGGTTGGGCTCTCTCATTTTGCACCCCCTGGGAGAAAAGCCTACATCCAGGATGATCATTAATGCTTCAACATAAATGAAAATGACAGGCTTTGTAACCGTGTTGTTACAGTTTTATTTGGGGGTGTGGTCTGAGCAGATGTCTCCAAACTGGCATTTTATGATGCGTTATGCTCTGTGCTTCACAGAATCCCGCTGGTGAGGGGGGTCACTGCAAGCCTGGGAACAAAATGGGCTTCAAGTCACAGGCAATTCAGGAACTGGAAGAAAAGGGTCGTAGGTTTGAATCCCAGGCGGGGGATCTGCTGTAATACCCATGTGATGGGTGCTGAGTGCTTATCCTAAGCTTCTCCAGCTATTTGGGGTTAAGGAGAAAATAAAAAATATAATTTATATCTGGTAGTATGTAAAAGCAGAAATATCTGGCCAAGTGAAGGGGTTACAACCATGCATAAGGCATAATTTATTGAGAAAATATCTGGACGCCTGAAATGGAAGCTGGCTATTCTAGATGGAGAATGAGATCTATTGTTAGTCATTCCAGACTCCAGCAATATAGTCAAACCAATATGTCTGCCTCTGGAAAGCTGGTGCTGAGTGCTCTGTTCCTCTGGCTGCAAGATGTCGACAGGCAGACCGGCAGCCTGCTCCGGCAGGGGTCAGCGAGCACAAAGGCACAGAGAATGAAAGATATTCAACATTCACTGTGGCCAAAAAGTTCTGCCATCTGAAATTCCAGCTCTTGCCATCTGCCCAGAAGCCGGATGTTTGAGGTTGTAATAAGAGAATGGCGATAAAGATTCTCTACGGGCCTCCGTCTGTCTCCCTCTCCTCATTTATACTGCTCTCCTCATCCACACTCAGGCCGGACAGATATGGGGAAGATTCGAGATTCGGCTTTAATGTCCATCTAAATTATTCAGCAGGCGAAGGATTCTTATTAAATTTTGAGCCCAGGACACTTTATTGGCCAAATGTAGGACATACTGGAATTTGTTTGGTGCAGGACAAAGACTTCAGTCAATAAGTGTATATTGACATAATACGACAATGTATATATAATATAGAACATATAATATAGACAATCTTTTTGCAATAGTTCCCAAATTAATTATTTATCCCGACTTTAGCAAAAATATATGGCTGCTATGAGTTCTCCATTTCTTTATTAACGAATATAACCGTGGCTTTCATATAATTTATATTTAGTTTTGAAAAAGGGTTTAATATTTGCCAATAATCAGAGTTGGTTTAGGATTATATCTTCAGATTTCTTGTATTTCTAACACAATCTCTTTGCTGTGGTGTTGTGAAAACGTAAAAGAACTGGGTTGGATTCTTGAGATGGTTTATTTTAAATTACACTATGATGGCTTACAACAAAGCAGGGAAGCTAGCTGCAATGAATCTTTGGGATGGATTTTCAGTTCTGCTCATTTTATACCCAGATATCTACCTCTTTCAAGGGTTCAGCAGAAACTCCCTGCCTGGGATTTAAGCCCAGTAGTTTCTTGTCTTAGCTCCATATCCCTAACAAGTGCTCCACCTACTGTCCTTGTGTGGTACTGCGAGTTTTGCCAGCATGTCACTTTGTTACGCATTTGGCTGGTGTGATATTTCGAGCAGTAGTGTCTTGTTACAGCATCGGATACCACTGGGTTGTTTTCCTGTGTGATTTTCTGCATTCTGATATGGGATTCGGTGGTTTGATGCATCTGCTGATCAGGTTTCATTTGGGTGAAAGTTGGATGTGGATGCTTGCGCGTAAGCCCACAGCACTGGCATCTCACAATGGTTCATTCCACCGTCTGTCCTGTAGTTCTGAAGAGTGGAAGAAGGTGAGCCGAAGTGAGCGGGAAAAGCTGGGGGTCACCGTTGAGGATGATGGGGAGTTCTGGTGAGATGCCACCCTTCCATAGCATGTTAGATGTATTTGTGGGGTTGATGGCCAGATAAAGCCTCATGAACCATTTGCTGTTTTTTTTGACCCCACTAGATGGTGCTCTTGGCTTGCTTTTGAGGTATGCTTTGAGCCCCTTTTTGAACAGACAGCACCATGTAGTGGGGTCAGAGAATACAGCAAATGGTTCATGAAGCTTTATTTTGCTTTCACAATAACTCAAAGCTCAAACAGATGAAAATTGCAAATAAGAGTCTTCTGTACTTCAACCTCTCCACATGATGTTGGCTCATGCGGTCTCATTTAGTTTGCAGCCTGTCACTATCTTAAGCCTAAATGATCCCACCCTACCCTTGATTTTGACGAATCCAGGATGAACTTTGAGGACTTCTGTCAGTACTTCACGGATCTGGTGTTGTGCCGTCTGATCAACACCTCCTACCTGAGCATTCACAAGACCTGGGAGGAGGAGGTGATGCGGGGCTCCTGGGTTCACTGGGATGATCCATTGAGGAACCGTGCTGGGGGTTGCATCAACCACAGGACCACCTTCCTTCAGAACCCTCAGGTAAGGACTTGGTGACCACTTTCTAGTAGAACCTAGAATAAGTATTGACCGACCGACCGCCTCAGGCTCAAGGTGACCTGATCCTGACACCTTCCTTGGTTCTTTGTGTATGAATGAGTGACAATATCCTGTCATTTCCACCTGCAGTACGTCTTTGATGTAAAGAAGGTGGAGGACGAGGTGCTAATCTGCCTTCAGCAGAAGGAGCAGTGTGGCCGACCCCGAGAGGGCAAGAGGGAGAACCTGGCTATTGGCTTTGACATTCACCGGGTGACCAGATGCCTGGGGCCACATTGGGAGGGGCTGGGCTTCACTTAGGGGAAGGTAACATAGATAGTGGATTAGGAGAGAACTAGATTCAGACCAGACATAGTTCAAGTCAAGTGGAAATACTGTCGTTTTAGACACATGAAACAACTGTAATTCCCTGGAGCAACAAATAGAAATAAGGGCAGGGATGGATGGTGGATGGATGGATGGGTAGATATATAGATAGATGGATAGATAGAACACAATACATTTTAATACACAACAACAACAATGACAATAAATCCTACAGAAAACATGAAAAGAGGATACTGACAAAGCTAAATGAATGGCTGGGTTTATGCATCTCACCCACCACTAGGTGGAGCTTAACAGGAAGTTCCGCATGCATTCGGCTCAGCACAAAGTGGGCGGCTCCATCTACATCAACTCGCGCTGTGTCTTCCTGAGGAGGGAGCTGAAGGAGGGCCGTTATATCATCGTCCCCACGACCTTCGAGCCAGGCCAGCAGGGTGAATTCCTGCTCCGCGTCTTCACTGATGTGCCTTCAGACTGCAAGTAAACCAGCCAACTCTTATTCTGATCGATCTGGTTGAATTAGGGTGGATCAGTAAGAAGAAAAAAAAAAAAACTGTAACTGAACTGGGGTCAGTGGTGGAAATTTCACTGTAGGGATCTCTATTATCTTGGGTCAAATTTCTGTTAGAAGGACAAGCCAAGCTTACTTTCAACCTATAGAGTAGCTGTATTATGTTTATTGAAGACTCTGATTTCCATTGCCCGCCCTGAGAATGTTTCAGTGACTCCTCCCTCTGATGCTTCCAGCACACAGTGTCTTAATACACGAATAGATGTATCGTGCCTTGGCTGGAGATGAAAGCTTCAGCGGTTCCCCCAGCTTTCCCTCTGTCTCTGGGTATGTCTGTCTGCGTGCTCATCTGTCTTTATCGCTTTGGCTCAGAGAGCTGACTCTGGATGAGCCGGCCCAAACCTGTTGGACTGGCATTTGCGGCTATCCTCAGGTGGTCACGCAGGTGCATGTGCTGGGAGCCGAGGGCCTCCAGGGCCCGGACTCTAACGGAGGTAAGCTACACCCCCTGCTCCATGGACAGAAAGGGAGCAGGGGTATAACAGATGGGAGGGATATACAGACGGACATAGGTTAACCCCAGCTTCTCCTCAGCATGTTTTGGAAGTGACCTGCGATTGTGTTCGAAAGGCTCGTGTCCTTGGCAAAGGCTCCATCCCCTATACACGACAGGGGGGGGGGCACTGTCGCTTTAACGTTCTGGGCCGGGGCAGTTTATACCCAGCGAAGCAGAGCGTGCTTTTTCAGATGAGTCACGTGGTGCTCTTCCCTTCAAACACACAGAACTCCTATACCTGAATCCACACAACAAGAGAAGCACCTTGCCAACAGCAGGTGCATTAGCACCACCCAGTGGCTAGTAGCTGTAGATGTTATGGTAGCTTTGTGCTATTTAAGTTCATTTTAAATAGTACTGTATTTAATTAAGCTAAGATGCAGTAGCTCACTGTCTGTCTGTCCGTTCTCCATAGTTCTTCTGCATCCGTAGAAGTTGCATCACGACTGACCAGCAACCGTCTCGTTTCAGCCCTGAACCCGTACGTGATAATCACCTGTGAGGGTGAGAAGGTGCGGTCACCGGTCTTCAAGGAAACACGATGCCCCGACTTTGACGTCAAGGGCCTCTTCTACAGGAAGAAGCCCAAAGAAGCCATCCATATAGAGGTGGGTGGGGGTTCCTGAGTCATGGAGTGAGGCAGGCCTCCTTTCACACATGCCGCGCTTAAATTTTGCATCTAGAGGGGCCTCGGATTTTTTCTTTATATTTCTCTGTTAGTACCAATGGCTAAGTCAGAAATTTGGCTGAGCTGATTACTCCCTCTTCCCAACACAGTATCCCCATCATTCTTTCTATTTTCTTGCTCATTCCCTATGCCAATTCCACACAGGTGCCAAACCCATAGCTAGGCTATGAGACTGTGCAGCTCTCTATAAACAGTCAGAGAGCTTGTTGCGTCCCATGGCTAATTTGCATTATTTGGAATTGTTTGACCAGCACAAGGCCTACAGTGTCACGGCAAATTGAATAGCTAATAGGAAAAGGAACAGCAGCTGTAAAATGGAAATGCAAATGGAAAGGGAGCTACTCTTTTAAATGCCAGATTAAAAACTGTATTCTTAGTTCAATTTGTGAATTCAGTTATTTCTTTTTAAACTGCATTTTCAAATAGATTTTGAAGTTCCATAATTTGTGTTGTTTTTGTAAATCCCTTTTTAATTTGAACTATTTATTTATGGATTGATATTTCATTCATTCATTCATTCATTCATTCATTCATTTTCCTCCATTCATCCGGTGCTGGGTCACGGGGGCAGCAGTCTAAGCAGGGATGCCCAGACTTCCCTCTCCCCAGCCACCTCCTCTAGCTCTTCTGAGGGGATATCAAGGCGTTCCCAGGCCAGCCGAGAGATATAATCTCTCCAGCATGTCCTGGGTCCGCCCGAGGGTCTCCTCCAGGTTGGACATGCGCGAAATACCTGCTTAGGGAGGCTTGATCTCATTTATAAATTCATTTTTATAATTCCACTCTTTACTGCACAATTATTTATTGCTAAATGAAATGCTTTACTACTATTTCCATGACACCTGCGGTCCTCCATATGTCTGCCTCTTTTTCACGCTATTTCAGTGACGAATCCATATGAGTTGGCAGATGTTTTTCATGAAATGGGTTGACACTCTTTACTCTTTATTCCCTTTGTTTTTGTCTCCAAACCAATAAGTAGATCTTCAACAAGAATGTGATCATGGATTCATTCTTGGGTCAGGTGACCCTCACCAGTGAGCCCAATAACCGGCAGGAGCAGCACACGGTGAACTTGCGCGATAGGGGCAGCCGCCAGGGTAACGCCTTGCCGGGCACGCTCACTGTCAGACTGATCACCTGCAACGAGCTGACCAGTATCTGAGCCTCAGTCCTCTCTTGCTGAAGCCTCGCCCCCTTGTTGCTGCGCCTTATACCCCTGCACACGGGACTGTGTTTTGCAACAGACTTTACTTTGCTCTCTAAACATATATTTCTCTATATTCTGCATGTCTGTCAACTTTTATACAAGGGCTATGCATCACTTTGAAAGGAGTACCCATCAGCTGAGCAGCTAGGTGTCGTGTCCATCATGCATTTGGACCCTCCCTTGTTTCAATAGACTCACCCCTGGTGTACGTTCCTGAAGCCATTGACATGGAATGCCTCAGGGCAGGAGGTGGTTTGTGTTCCCTAGAAGAACTTCTTGCTGTTCGTTTGAGAGAACCGAATTCCCAGAATGCAATAGAAAGCTCTTCTGTGATTTTCTCCAATGCGTGATTGACATGTAGCATCTATCCTAGCAACATGTGTACATATGTGTATATATACATACATTTTTTTCACTTGAAGACGCTGATCCATGTGCCACTCTTACAGCAAAGTACATTGTGGGACCAAAGACGGCAATGTTTTGATCGTCCAATGAAGGCCTTCCAATCCTTAGACGTCCAATGAAGGCCTTGCAATGCTTTGACCATCCAAGGATGGATGTTTGATACTTTGACCATCTAGTAATGCCCATTCTGTGTTTAGATCTTCCAACAATGGTCATGCAGTGCTCTCTGTGAGATACAGATTAGGGAACAGTTAGGCTTGGTCACAGGTGACAGCAACTTGTATGTGCTAGTATGTGTTTATAGATTGGTAGATGCTGCTAATGTCATACATGCAGAGATCCTAGCAGTGCCATAACCTTGGGGCAGATATGATGGTTCCTCAGCTACTCAACAGGATCAATGACTCATGGCCCAGCAGTCTCAAGAGCAACACAGAGGACACGCATTTCCTGCTTGTTTTTTTAAAGAATAGTACAGTTCATCTGGGAATTCAGCTGGATCTCCTCTCTCTTTGTTCATGTTTGTTTTTGGAGAGAAAGATGCTCAATGACAGTGAAAAGACGAAAAAAGTGAAAAGTGCCGAACAGAGTATGGTGCGGTTTATCAATGACCACTCGTAACTTGCCGGATCATGACTTTCTTCCCAGGGTGGAATATCACTCTGTGTGAGATACAGACCAGCAGGAAATACCAAGTTCTAGAAGACAGACCTCACTGAAAGTTATTTATTATTTTTATGTGATTTTTTATTATTATTTTTTTTTTAATAGGCCCCGACACTTACGTTAGTGTATGTTCCAGCGAATCGGGAAAGAATAGCCAAAACAGGATTACCACTAAAGGAGCAACACTGCATATTTTCTTGGAAGAAATGCAATCTACCCCAGGAAAAGTGTTTGTAAACCGAAGCCACGGAGCAACCTTTCTGTGTTTATTAGTATAGTTTTTTTCTGGTTTTAGAGAAAACTGAGGATTTTCTGATTGTATTTGTACATATATATGGCATTATACGTAATGATTATGAAAAAAATGAAATCACAGGAGTAAACAGTTTTATTTTTCTGAACCCGGTTGCCCTTTAAGAGGACAAAAGTTGCATTTATGCCGTTCAGCATCACTTTATTGTAAATCCTTTCTGTTTTATTGGATACTGCAGAAGATTATTATTCGGCAGCAGATATCAATGTTTTTTTTTTTAGTTTTTTTTTTTTTTTACAGTGTTCGGAGATAGATGTTTTAGTGATGTATTAACATACACCTGTTTACAGTTCAGAATTTACCAGAGTGAATCTATTTATATATTTATAAGTGTCAAACAATACTGCTCAAGTTGGATAATATATCAATGACTTTCATATATGTAGCTAATATAGGTGATGTTCAGTATTTATAACACTATGGGGTTGGCATTTAATATCCATATGAGAAATGGTGCAATATAAATATTTGCAGCATGCTTTGAGATGCCTGCTGAGATTGGATTTGCTGTGTTATGGATTGCACATTATAAAACACTGTACACTAGCATATATTAGTTCATTGCAGGCCAGGTGGTTAGATAATATGGGTTTCAAGCACGATGCTAAGCTGATTTACGGGATTTGATGCCTGTGGGTGGTGGTTGGTTTGACCTAGGAATTTGGGGGCTCTGGTGTTACGAAGAGACACAAAGGAGTTCTATTTAGTTTAATCCAAGGTTATACAACAGAGGGCGCTGGGGAGTCTGTGCGGGCTGTTTCTGTCATGTGGAGAGTTAAGTTAGAGGTCCATGTAATTTCCTACCCCATGTTTGTACTTCCGCATACACACACATATGAAAGGCAGTCACCCTTAACCTTCATGGTCCATTGCTGACTCTGGAAGACCAGGATGGTCAGGAGCACTACATGATCTTTCGGTGAGATCCATATTAAGAGGGTTAGACTGATATAACCGTTTATGAATCCATGCTATTCTAGAATAAAAATCAATCATTTGGGCTCTGGAAAGGTGGCTGTGCAAGAAAATATCACCGAGGTATTTAGCACACTGAAGCCTGCCGTCGTGGTACTAAAATACAGTCCAGTACCACCTAATATTGTCATTTGGAGTCTATAGCACAGTATGGCTGCAGTTTACACTTCTCCTCATTCACACAGCTAGAGTTTTCCTGAAGAAACTTATGCAGAGTGCCTCAGCCAAGGAAGCTGCAGGAGAATCTCCTCCTGTGGCTGAAACCAGGGACCCTTTGGTCACCAATACTATTTTTAAAACAATGCCACTAATTCAGTTCATAACCGTAGTGATGGGCAAATGAAGCTTCATGAACCACTTGCTGAATTTTCTGACCCCGCTTGATGGTGCTGTCTGTTCAAAAAAGGGCTCAAAGCATGCCCCAAAGCAAGCCAAGAGCACCATCTAGTGGGGTCAAAAAATACAGCAAATGGTTCATGAAGCTTCATTTGCCCATCACTACATGATTGCCACCCCTGGACCCTGTAAAAACAAAACTGATTTGCAGTCTAAATAGATTTAAACTGAGAGTAGAATGTAGGTATGAAAGAGATCATTTGAGTATGGCAATTTATGATGCCAGGTCTTAGCATTTTGTCTCTGTGCTCCTATGCTATTCTGTGCTTTGTGGACTGTTTGGTTTCAAGTATTGTTGTCAGGTATGTACAGTATGGAAAATACAATGACATTCTTATGATATATAATCTCTCCAACTATATGATAGTGTTCGAAGGGAGGTTGTAAGACAGGGGAAGACAGTTTTGTAGTTTGACAGGACAGTAGTGTGACATAAAGGGAGTGCGATGATACATAAAATACAATAGATGAGTAACACACAGTGAACAGTGCAACAGCATTGAAATGGTGCAAGGGAAGTGTGGAAAACCACTACAATACTGTGATCTTTGAGAAATACAGGAGATTTTTACAGCACTAGAGATGTATTTAAAGGAGTTGGTATCACAAGGTGTTTACAGTCCTAATTACTTGTGGGAAGAAGCCAGCTCTGAAGTGAGCGGTGCAGGTGGAGATGCTCCTGTTGCGTTTAGCAGCTGGTGTTAATGGATCAGGCCAGTGATTTCGGAGGCCATCCAAACTGTTCTTTGTAGCAATATGAGGTCCCAGGCTGTCAGGTTACCAAACCACGCTGTGATGCATCCTGTCAGGATGCTCTCAATGGTGCATCAGTGGAAGTCCGTTAGGATCTTATTTCCAGTCCGAGGCTTTTTAGCCTCTGCAGGAAGAACAGTCTCTCTTTTGACTTCTTGAGGATGCAGCTGTTAAGAGACCATGAGAGTTGGATGCCCACACATCTGACTGTACTAATTTCCACAGATGAACCATTGATATTAAGCAGGGTGTGACTGCTTCTGTACTTCCCGAGGTTGAAAATGATCTCATTTGTCTTGTCGACATTCGAAGTGAGGTTCTCCTGGCACCATAAAGCCAGGTCTTTTATCCCTTTTGCTTTCTTCTTTTGTCACCATCGCTAATTAGACCAATCACAGTGGCGTTGTCGCGGTTCCGTGCGGAGCACAGGCTGTATAATAGGGGGCTAAGGATGCACCGGTGTTGAGGGTCAATTTCGACAAGGTTCTTTTGACCATTCTCATTGCCTGGGGCCTGTTAGTCAAACACACAGCCACAGATGAAGCTGCACAGACCAAGGACTCGTGAGATTTAACACAAGTTTAGGTGGAATAATGGTGTTAAATACAAAGCTATAGTCAATGTGCATGGTAAGGGGGATAGCATTGCCTGCAAATCTGTTATGTCGGCATGAAAACTGAAATGGATCCAGGGTGGCCGGGCTATGTAGGACACTACCAGTCTTTCTAGAATCTTCATTATGAAGGAAGTTAGAGATAGGACAGTAATCACTGAGCCGAGGTGTCATCGGTGCCCCCTGCTGTATCCAGCACCCTGCCTTGCATGCGTCAGCTGTTAAGCCTGTTTTCCGCATGCGTGTGTCCTCAGAGGCCAGAGACCTCTGACCCTTGACCTTTGTCTGTTGCGGAGTTTAGAACACCTGCAGTTCAACTCTAGTCTAAAGATGCTGACTCCAGTCACAAGTAAATACACAAACATATATGCACTCGGATCGTGGAGCTTTGACATGTGCAGTGTAATGCAGACATGAATTTATTTGTAATTGATGGTACATGATTCATAAATAGATCCCTTATATATGTTCCATGGTTTTTTTCCTACTGGGTTAAAGGTTACTATAATGGCTATGGTGAAATCAAGGTAACCAAAAACTGGCAGAGAAATGGGTTTTGGGCACAAATCCTTTTTGATCACTACCTTCTACTGCTATTTCCTACTTTATCTTTCTGTTTTTTGTTCAAGGTCAGTCAATTCACTGTCAATTTACTGTCCATACCATACCAAAGGGCCATATCTGTGTTTAAAGTATGTGTTTTATTATCTGCAATTATTCAATGACCAACATCATTCTGGGCCACTGTGTTTTGTACGTATTTATTAACTTTATTTATATATTGTGTTATTTCTGTATTCATTTTGTATTTAAAGTAAACTTGTGGCATGAATTTGAATTAAAACTTGACCTCTTTAAGGAAGTTGCAGTTTTTTTGTAGATTCTACCACACAAATGTACATCTGCAAGCAGATCATTCTTCATGGTAATTAAGAGCAGAACAGTTTAAACAGACTCAGACCAGCAGACACAGACCAAGGTGAAACTTGATCTGCAGATTGGTTTGTCTCTGTTGATCAATGATATCAATCTGTCTTTTCCTGAGAGACATTGGGCAGTGATTCAAGTAGCTGTGAATTCTTGGAGATCTAAAGGAACATTTGTATTACAGTTTAACACTGCAAATATGGCTAATTTGGTAGAACCATTGACTAGATTGGCAATTCTGAATCCTGAAACAGCTTGGTAAATGCGGAGCTTCCATGTTCTTCCCGTGACATGTTGCGTTCCTCTGGGTACTCCAGTTTCCTCCTGCAGTCCAAAGACATACAGTTAGGCTAACTTCTCTCTTGAAAATTGCCTGTAGTGTGTGACTGTGTGACCCCAGCCATCTACCCTGTGCTGCCCCACAACCCTGACCAGGAAAAGTGGTTTTAAGACACTCTAAATACACTCACCTAAAGGATTATTAGGAACACCATACTAATACAGTGTTTGACCCCCTTTCGCCTTCAGAACTGCCTTAATTCTACGTGGCATAGATTCAACAAGGTGCTGAAAGCATTCATTAGAAATGTTGGCCCATATTGATAGGATAGCATCTTGCAGTTGATGGAGATTTGTGGGATGCACATCCAGGGCATGAAGCTCCCGTTCCACCACATTCCAAAGATGCTCTATTGGGTTGAGATCTGGTGACTGTGGGGGCCATTTTAGTACAGTGAACTCATTGTCATGTTCAAGAAACCAATTTGAAATGATTCGAGCTTTGTGACATGGTGCATTATCCTGCTGGAAGTAGCCATCAGAGGATGGGTACATAGTGGTCATAAAGGGATGGACATGGTCAGAAACAATGCTCAGGTAGGCCGTGGCATTTAAACGATGCCCAATTGGCACTAAGGGGCCTAAAGTGTGCCAAGAAAACATCCCCCACACCATTACACCACCACCACCAGCCTGCACAATGTTAAAAAGGCATGATGGATCCATGTTCTCATTCTGTTTACGCCAAATTCTGACTCTACCATTTGAATGTCTCAACAGAAATCGAGACTCATCAGACCAGGCAACATTTTTCCAGGCTTCAACTGTCCAATTTTGGTGAGCTCGTGCAAATTGTAGCCTCTTTTTCCTATTTGTAGTGGAGATGAGTGGTACCCGGTGGGGTCTTCTGCTGTTGTAGCCCATCCGCCTCAAGGTTGTGCGTGTTGTGGCTTCACAAATGCTTTGCTGCATACCTCGATTGTAACGAGTGGTTATTTCAGTCAAAGTTGCTCTTCTATCAGCTTGAATCAGTCGGCCCATTCTCCTCTGACCTCTAGCATCAACAAGGCATTTTTGCCCACAGGACTGCCGCATACTGGATGTTTTTCCCTTTGCACGCCATTCTTTGTAAACCCTAGAAATGGTTGTGCGTGAAAATCCCAGTAACTGAGCAGATTGTGAAATACTCAGACCGGCCCGTCTGGCACCAACAACCATGCCACGCTCAAAATTGCTTAAATCACCTTTCTTTCCCATTCTGACATTCAGTTTGGAGTTCAGGAGATTGTCTTGACCAGGACCACACCCCTAAATGCATTGAAGCAACTGCCATGTGATTGGTTGATTAGATAATTGCATTAATGAGAAATTGAACAGGTGTTCCTAATAATCCTTTAGGTGAGTGTATGTAAATAACAATATTTGAAATGCAATATGAAATAATGTCAGGGTCTGATGCATATGTGATACTTTTAGTATTACCAAGTTGTAATGGTGAAATGGGTTCTAAGGGATGCTTGTGTAGAACAGCTCCCCCTGTAGGTGTGGAGGAGTGACTTCATGGAAGCATTTTCCACTTTCTGGTCCTAATGAGGCAAGAGTAAGAGTTAGTGTGGAGGGGGTGACTTTGACATCCTGTGTCATCCTACTGCTATGTTTTAAGCTAAAAAAAAAAAAAAAGAAGAGTGAAGAATTTTAGCCTGAGGATGACTAAAAAAGAAACAGCCATGGTAGATGGCAGCAGAACATAGCTCCTGACTGCCCTTTCCCAAGTCCTCTCAGGCCCCTTGTCGTTCCCCTCCACTTCCACCCTCCTGCGCATTGGCCCCTCCCACCTCTAATAAGGATCAGCAACTGTGAATGAGCGACACAGCACCTCTATCACACTGTTCCAGAGCGAAGCTCCTACAAGCAGTTGGATATGATCAAGAAAGCAGGCCCGGGGCAGAGAGAGATACAGTCTATCATGGAGATGGCCTGAGAGACAAAAGTAAGAGAGAGCAGTATGCTGAGAAAAACAAACGGAGAGACAATGGTGTGAAAGTGAGAGACCTGAAATCCAAAACGACACTTTTTGGAAGAGGAGGGAGGAGCACCACTGCATCCTGTCTTATTGACTGCAGTTGTCTGTGGCCGCGAAGGAAGCTGCTGTGATTGGTGCCCAAAAGCAGAGCAGCCGAGAGGTAAGTGGTGTCCCACCAGGCCTTAACACGCTGCGGTCCTGAGGTTTTCTTAAAGCTTCTTACAGCTAACACCTCCCCCGCCCAAAAAGGGAGACCTGTTTTGATGGTTTTAATGGTGCAGCGTAGGTTTTGTCACAATGAACCACCAGTCTTCAGTTCTGTCATGTTTCACAAAATTTTGGCAACAACAAGCTTCTGGAAAATCTGTCCCATTGAGCTTGTTGTTGGTGTTATTTTGAGACAGAAAGGTTGGCTGAAGTTGAACAAAGGTCCTGCCTGCACTCATTCACGTCCATGGAAACTTACAGGCTTTCAGTTTTCAAGGGCCATAATCTAACGTTCGAGCCTAAAACCATTTATGAACACAACTCTGAAGATCCCCCCATCATCCATTCTATGCTTTATTAACCCCTTTTAATCACCATCACCAGACACAACCCCCACCCCCCAAAGAGCTGCTTGGTGGATTTAGTATCTCAGTGATCTGTAGTCATTCACCTATGTACTTGAATGTCTCACAGTGGTTACTACTTACAGTATATACTGAATTTTACAGCAGTCCCTGTGTGCTGTTTTCCGACAACATCCCATGGGTCCAGTATGAGACAGGCATCACTCCTTGAATTGTCCGGCTTCATCCTACTGCTTCTGGATGATTTAAGGTAGTCTAAATAGGGATGTGGGGCCAGGGTGCATTCCTCATCAGTGGAGTCCTATAATATTGTTAGCATGCTAATGCTGCTTACTGCTCATTTACTGCTGATTCAGCTTTCATATTTGTTACATTAGACGGGCTGACTCTTATTTACACTACCAGTGTAAATTTTGCACACGCCCTTTACCAACAAGAAAATGTCATGTCTTTGATTCATCAAAGTAACCTCCACTACCAGTTATGACAGCAGAGAAATTGCGAGGCATTCTTTCTACAAGGGACATTAAACACTGCTCTGTATCATAGGATGAAACAGTTAACTAGTGCATTTAAAGTAGAAGGACAGCCTAGAATTTGACTATGCCATCCCCACATAACCAATTAGTTGGATGTCAGAAATACACTGTTACATACTCTTTCCAGGTTATAATGGAAACTTGTTTTATTTGATTTATATTTTCATTTACAGTTGTTCACTCAACCTTCCAATGCTTACTAAGAATATAAAATCTGCAATTTATGAAATAAATATGGTAAAAGTGGTAAAAACTGTGGTGCGAAAAACTTTTGACTGGTAGTGTATGTCTCAGGGTGTCACTGTTATTAAGAGCTAATAAATCACATGCTCTGAATCCTGAGTAATGTGTGTGAGTGGAGATGACAGAAACTGTAGAGGAAGTCTTTTGTTCCTTTGCCCAACTTCGGACAACCTCTTCAGTTGAGGGCTGTCAGCTTCCAGAGCCAGGTGCTCCTTTTACTTTATTGAGTTTGTCATCTGGCGTGAAAAATCTGCCCCCGGACTCTCTGGAAAAAGCCTGAGCAAACAAAAAGCAGCGGGCCAGAAAACTCGAGTCGGCGTGTGCAGAACTCTTTGCATAATCAACAAGATTAGCCTGAGGAATCTGAGTAAGCCCAAGAAGAAATGAGCTCCAGTCTCCGGTCTCATTTCTCCCTCTCATCTGACCTGCTGAGTCAAGGCTAGGATGATTAACACTCACTGAACTGGGAGGTGTCACAATGAACACTCTAGAACCGTATACTAACTAGAGTACAACACATGCTACAAATTTGTACACCAGGAGTCGGCAACCTGCGGCACGCGAGCCACATGCGGCTCTTTGACCACGTGACTGCAGCTCTTCTCAGAACGACAGCCGCATTCACATTTTCATGTCCTAACATAATTATGATAATACTTTCATAAAGATAAATTATTTATTTATGGGTTAATATTATTTTTCATTTAGATATTTCTTTAGCTATATGTGAATGAGGCAGTCCATCGCGTGCTTCTGTGATGTTTTAACGATCATTTACATCTTCCTCAAAATCATTCTCTACGACGAGAGTACATGTGGTGACCCAGGGTAAGAGGCCCCACCCGCCATGTACCATTATTTTTGTATTGAGGAAAACCCCTTAGGATCTCCTGGAGCGACGACCCAGACAAGGCAGACACCAAGAATACTGTTAATTATTCCCACAGGTTTATTTGGGCGCACAAGGTAAGTACACTTTCCTTCCCGGAAGAAAACTCCCACACACTGGCCGCAGCCATCTTTAAACAGCAAAGTCCCACCGTCCACGCCCAATCAGTCTATCCCAGGCAATTGATCGCCGCCCCGGTGTGTAGCACAAGGTCCCCCTAATTGTCCATGGCGCTGCCTGGGGAAAATAACACACCGCACCAAAACCAAAAATCCCACAATCAAAAAATAAATAAATAAAATAACAATTCCCCAAAAAAACAATTAATCATCCCACAGTGATCACCCCAAAATATTCCCCGTCGTGCTAGTCACGACACTCCCCCCCGCT